ACACTGAATTTTTACCTTTAGTCACCAGAACATCAAGAACACCACGATGACAAAATAGTGGGTGTAGCCAAGCCACTGTTGCGTTTAATATCATATGAAATTTAAGAAGAGTTATCCATTTGTAATACGCTTTCATTATTAGCTGTCTATTATGTCATCAAGAACTGTAGCTTGTTAAAAATCTGTTGAAGAACATGGCTACTTATTTTGTGATAATTTGTGAGATCCTCCTCTAAGACAGAAAGATGATCTGATGGTTCTGCTTCTAGTAGTTTAAATAAAGAAGAATAGACGTAAATAAAAGATTTCAAACTAAGACACCTCTAATTATCAGTTATCTCTTAGAATCAATGGTTCTTTAGTTGTATCAGTTTGTAACAGTTTCTCTAACTATCCTTAAGATGCCTGCTGTGCACAGTATAAAGATAGATAAAGAGTCGCTAAAATGTTGTACACGCCTACCTATTGATCAATGAAGCTCACCTAGAGTTTTCAAGGTCTTACACTCCAAATTGTCAGACAGATTCAGTGGAAACTCTGCTCTGTTGATTGAAATCACAGTTACCAACAAATCAAAAATGTTTTGTCATTTAGTACGAATGATACTCTGACATTTAGGCCATATTAGGAATTAGCAGTATTTACAGTGTATGTATATTGGCTGATTTATTACATTCAAACAAAGGATACCCATTAAAAAATCCAAAAGAAAGAAAAGATTAGTCCAAAATAGAGTTTTTCTTCGAATAATCCATTTCATTAGGTTTACAGTCGCATTTATAGGCGATATTTCGGTAAGTGTTTACCGTGTATTGACCAAGGTAGTTGTAGAGAAGTACGGATACGAATTATCACAAAACTTACGCTGTAATGTATCCTTCTTTGTACTAATTTCAGGTTTCATTTCTCTTTGAATTGTTAGCTAAGTGTAGTGATGACATCACCCTTTGCTATCACACAAACCTGTTTTATACTGTTCATCTCTTATGTAATATTCATTCAATTATTGATTCTATGGTTTTACTAATCACATTCGACTTTCCAAATATTTTATTTTTCTATAGTTTGGTTTGTAAGGGTTAGTTTTGTTTTTTACGGGTTGATAGAATTGGTAGAAGTTAGAATTCATGGACTGGTGAATTGAGGAGTCGGGTCCCAGTGGCTGAATGTGGTATACGAGCCAGCTTGCCTTGTCCTGGGTTCGGACTCTGACACTGTGGACGGTGCGTACTGCCGATGATTCCCAAACTAGGATGAAACAGCTAGCTGTCCAGTACTCCCTGCTTGTTTTCAATGGTTCTCTAGCTGATATCAATCCGTGATCAACTCGAAAAAATATTTTATTATTACTATTATTAATATTATTATTGTGCAACCATAGAAACAAACCTATTCGTTTTCATAAGTGTTATGTAGCATTTTCAATTCATCTTTATTATTCACCAGTTACTATTTTATTTTAATTAATTTCTGAAAAGACTGATACTTTGATTTATCTTTTTGTTGCCACAACCAGTTAGTTACTTGACTTAGTATATTGTAAATGCTTACCAGTGCGTCGGTGGCACAGCTGTTAGGACACTCACCGACCATGCACATGGTCCGGGGTTCGACCCCCGGCCGACGCACTCCTTTCACTCTCTGAGCCAGTAATAGGACTGGTAAACCCGAAAGGTTTGGCATGAGGCTAGTAACCCCATCCTGTAAAATAAGAACACTGCTACAAAAACTTCGAGCCACTAGCTTGAGGCCCTATGTTCCACTGGGAACGTGAAGAAAAAATGCTTAGCTGAAAAGTATGTAATAATAATAAAAATATTAATAATAATAATATTTTTTTCATTCCTTTACATTCCTAGTGGAACGTAGGGCTTGGATCTACAGCTTTGAAGTTTCAGTAGCATTGATTTTATTTTTACGGCGTGAGGTCGCTAACTTCACGCACAAACTCCACTTTTCACCAGTCTTATTACTGGCTTAGTGAGGTAAAGGAGTGCGTCGGTGGCCGGAAATCGAACCCGAAATCACTTACGTGGTTGGTGAGTGTTCCACTGCTGCACCACTGACGCATAACAATAATAATTTACTTTATTTCAAAACATTCCTCAAGATATAGCATGAAATTCTTAGCATTCGTTACAATATTACGTCTAATTTAATCAACAACGACATAAGTGTTAATAGAAACATTTTGGTGTTTGCAGTAATAATAAGATATAAATATACAAAATGAAAATAATAATAATAATAATCGCGCTAAATCATGAACTGGTAGAAGCTAGAATTTATGGGTTGGCCATTGAATCGGGCTAGCTTTCCTTGTAACAGGAAGGTTCTGGGTTTTTATCCCTGTGGTGGATATGAGTACTGCCGGTGATTCCCAAACTGGGATAAAACAGCTGTCCAGTATTCCTTGTTGGTTTTCAATGGTTCTCTAGCTGATATCAACCCGTGATCAACTCGTAAAAACATAACTAACCCTTACAAACCAAACTATAGAAAATAATAATATTAATTAAAATGATATGATAACTGAAAATTACAAATAGGAGAAGATGAAAGAGCCATTTATTCTGCTAATTACACAGTAAGTTATAAGTTTCCTGCCTAACTCTTTCTCTATCACACAGAACGCGGGCGGGTCAAATAGGGCATCATTGAGTTTTTGTACTTAGTTGCACAAGCATATTATCTCTTATCATGGCTTCTACTCTCACGTGAGGAGATGTGAGGTGTTGGAGAGTTGTAAATAAAGAAATGGGGCTGACAGTCAGATAATTTAGATTTATACCATTATTCGCAAGAGCTGAGATATCTGTCAACTACAATAGTAACTTAGTGGCTTATTTAGTGGCACACTACTTGTCCTACTGACAATCTATAATACTCTACGAAATATGACGCAGTCCTTTTTCAGCAACCCAAGAAAGACTAAGGGGGAGTAGTAAAGTATTATGGATAAGATGTAAGAGTTAACAAACTGTAAAATTAGAAATTGAGCGATACCTGACTTCCTTAACTTTTTAGTGTAGAAGGTTAGTCGAAATTTCTTTTTTAGAAATTGACAAGATATTGGATGATGAAGTAAGGTCAGAGCAAAGAACTATTCCAAGGTATGTAATACTTAGTTTCTATATCATCAGTGCCCTCTATGCTATAAGCATCATGTGAACAGACTAGTTAGTGTAAATCACGCCTAAGCTTGGAGGTGAAGTTAACCGTTTACAGTTTTACAACACTGGCTTGTTTCTGACAAAAAACGATTCCGTTTGTTACATGAATTGCGGTTGAGCAGTTTATTCAATGAATTCTCTGAAAACAAACTTTTTGTTATACTTCATGGTCTCATAAAGGCATAACACATTCTATGTTAATCTGACACAACTTAGTTTCTTTTATATCAGGAAAACATGTCATGTCATAGAATGCATCAACTTTTTATTTCATTAAAGACAATCCGACCACTCACCATTTAGGTTTTACTTTCTATAACTTTAAGATAAAAGTATATTCAGAAGAAAATATTTAGAGCGAACAATTGTTTTCAATAAATTCTTCCTCAGGCTCTACAATTATAAATCCATTAATTTAAGCATACAATAGCCAGCCAGTAAAGGCAAATTAGAATCATATCAGAAAGTGTATTGTGGAACAAGTATAAGATGGGATGGAACAATAGTCAGTTGGTTTTTTAATATGCATGGTCAATGAGAACATGGGACAAAATGAGATGAAGTAATTGAATTTAATGATGTGTGTGTATATATGTAAATATAGTCAACAGAAAAATGCAGGTTTCGAGAGTGAGTGTAATCCGGGTGCGTGAGACAATATAAAAACAAATGAAAGTATGGGGCGGTCTAGACCTAAGTTCAAGGTTGAAATAACGACAATAAGAATGATTGGAAAATAATAACGATGATATGGTGTAAAATTAAAATTAAATGTATTATTGGTGAATGATTGTCAAATAATAATAATAATGAATATAATGAAGTGGAATGAACAGGGTTTTGTAAATACGATAGCAAGTTAGAAAAGCACTACTTAAACCTAAGGTAATGAAATCATAAGAAAGGTCATGAAATCATAAAAGTCGAAAATGAACGTTTGTCAATGAAACAGAGGAATAGAAGAAGGAAAAGAAAAGAAAATTGTGAAAGGAATTTATAGTGTTAATGGAGGATTTGTTGGCTTTATTGTAGGCCAAGGTAAACATAGAGGTTGAACATACTTCTTCGGTATGCAGAGGGATGGTCTTCTGGTATTAATTGCAACTGCTTCAGCTACTGATAGAAGATATAGTCAAGCTCGTCTAGATATGATTTCATGACCTTTCTTATGATTTTATTACCTTAGGTTTAAGTAGTGCTTTTCTAACTTGCTATCGTATTTACAAAATCCTGTTCATTCCACTTCATTATATTCATTATAATTATTATTTGACAATCATTCACCAATAGTACTTGCAATTTTACACCATATCATCGTTATTATTTTCCAATCATTCTTATTGTCGTTATTTCAACCTTGAACTTAGGTCTAGACCGCCCCATACTTTCATTTGTTTTTATATTGTCTCACGCACCCGGATTACACTCACTCTCGAAACCTGCATTTTTCTGTTGACTATATTTACATATATACACACACATCATTATATTCAATTACTTCATCTCATTTTGTCCCATGTTCTCATTGTCCATGAATATTAAAAAACCAACTGACTATTTGTTCCATCCCATCTTATACTTGTTCCACAATACACTTTCTGATATGATTCTAATTTGCCTTTACTGGCTGGCTATTGTATGCTTAAATTAATGGATTTATAATTGTAGAGCCTGAGGAAGAATTTATTGAAAACAATTGTTCGCTCTAAATATTTTCTTCTGAATAAATTATGGGAATATTCAAGAAAAGTATATATATACATTAAAAGTTATTGTATTAACTTACAATATCATATTGAAGTAACACTGTTATTATTAACTTTTTAGAATGTCAGTGCATTGCGTTCATCAGCAGATGAAATGGAGTTATTTTCTGTAATTAATCGAAGATTTCGGCATATTTTTAATCGCCAAGATGAAATGCTCAACTTTCGAACATATGATCATTCAAAGGTACAGTAAAATATTACATTTATTGATTTATGTATATATATATATATATATATATATATATACTAATTTTGCTCTCAGTAACTTTCATGCACAGCATACCCTTAGAAATCTTTTTTTCATTAGTGAATTTGTTAAGTTTTTTCTTATATTGAATAAACTGTCGGTTGTTTCAGGGGAAAAAGAGCAAATTAAGAAATTTTAAGTGAATAGATTAATGATAATAAATTGAGTGCATCGGTAGCACAGAGGCAGAATGCTCCCCGGCCACGCAGGTGGTTAGGGGTTCGATCCCTGGCCGACGATGCGCTCTTTTACCTCGTTAAGCCATTAATTACACTGGTAAAGAGGGAAGGTTGGGCATGAGGCTAGAAACCCCATTCTGTAAAAATAACCATCACTGATATAGAAGCTTCAAGCCTCAAGCTTGAAGCCCTATGTTCCACTGGTAACGTAAAGGAATAGAAAAAAAACAATTTGAGTTTATTTGCCTGGGTTGTAATAGTTTATGATTTTTTCAACATTCGAATTTAGATTTCATTGTGTTCAATTGCAATTCCTTCTATTGATGTAGACGTTTTCATTCCATTGTTATTCTTGAAAATCCTCGGTAAATATTTAGCTAACTTTTCGACCTCCCTTATATCTTTATTTAGCGCAGCATATTTACACCTCTCCATATCTTTATTGTAATGTGATAACTTCTACTGATGGACTCCTGTGTAATATTCTACGGTTTTAAGGCAGTCAAATTTCTCATTATAGATAATCTGATCAAATCTGGCTTTTAGTTTCTCAAAAATGATAATCTTTTGAGTTGCATAAAATAATCTGTTCTTAATTCTCCTCTTTATTATGTTGAACAATGCTCATGACAAAGACTGTTGGCTTCTTCTACCTATGTAACTTAACTGTCTATACAAGAGTAGTTAGATTTTAAACTGTGCTAGAGCTCAAATGATTTATACTCAGTCGAATCAGTGTGATTGTATTCAGCCTTATTTATTGTCTTCGTACTGATTCCTGAAGGGAAATCTAAATAAGAATTTAATTCCATACGTGATTTGATAAAGTGAATGCAGACAGTTTGTTCAGTGAACGAAACATTAAACTCCAATTATGCCTTGACCTTTTTCAGCGTTAAAGGATACTCTGAAGGTATCGGTAATTTAAGTATTCTATGATATGTATCCATATATATATATATGTGTGTATGGTGCTCTCTCTTTCTGTTGCTCTCTTAGTCTGTGACTATTTCACTTTGATGAATCTGTCTCCTTTAACAATGTATATTTCCCCTTATATTATATATAATATGTGTGTTTGTTGACAGTCTGTTCTTGGTGATATATATATCCATATAATATGTGTGTTTGTTGACATGTCTGCTATATTTCGCTATGTATATATGGATCGATACTCCATTATAATTAGTCAATCATGTTAAGACTGTCTGTTGATTTGTTCACACACTTGTTTGGACATTCATATATATTTTGCTCTCACACTATTGTGGGATATATTGATTCTCCTGGTGTGTGGAAAATATAAGTATCATCGCAAACCTAGTGGTCTTCTGATTTCCGTCTTTCTTGCGTCAGGACTATTAAATTCTCGACCAGTACATAACAATAATTTGGCGACGAGTACATAACATTCTAATAGTGATTTTTTTATAAGCAGTGAATACTTTAGATGATTACATAAGTAAAACGGAGAATTTATTATACGAAAATGGATATTATCGTAAGTACAGAACTTGGGCATTATGACAGAATCTAATTCCGTATTAGATAAGTTTACTTGATATAACATACAATCGTAAAGTACTAATGACTGGATGATCAAAGTCGAGAATCCATCTCGGATACGTTGACAAGAGTTCTGAGGAGAGTTCTCTTTCCTTTGTTAGGAATGCATTCATACTATAGAATCGGCTTGTCGGGAGATAAGGGATAGCCTCTGTAAAGCATCAACCTTCTTATGCTGTCCATAAGCTTTTCTTAGCCCTTGAAAATCCCATACAAGCAGTATAATTTTTGGTTGGAGCATTCCATCATGAGCTGACATCAGTTAGAGAATCACTGAAAAACAAACTGGAAGTACTGGACAGCTGTTTTGTTCCAGTTTGAGACTCTTCAGTAGGTGAGGCAGTAACTCATCGAAGAAGATATTGCGAAGTGGTCCCGCTATGTCATGAATTGGCAGAAGTTAGAATTCATGCGCTGGCCATAAGATCGAGTCCCAGTGGCTGAATGGTCTACGAGCTAGCTCGGTAGCCTTGTAACCAGAAGGTCCTGGGTTCGACCCCGGAGGTGAGTGTGTGCTGATGAAGAGTCCCAAACTACTGGGACGAAACAGCTGTCCAGTACTCCCTGCAGGTTTTCCAATGGTTCTCTAACTGATGTCAGCTCATGATGAAATCCTCCAACCAACCAAAGAAAAAAATACCTACAAAAAACCAATACTTGAGTATAATGTTTGAAGCGCGCCATACTCACATCGACGGAAGGCTTTTGGAGGATCCGTTTTTCTGATGCTTATAATCCAGAGTTTCAGTGCTGGTTGCCTTTCAGTTACCACTGAGCTAACAGGCTGCTAAGGGTATTTTTGTTCGGTGACACTTGAATACATAGTTCAAGTGAAGTCAGCTTCCTCTAGGACGTCTCCTCAGCATGATTAGAACACTATGGTTTGAGGACAAACATACAGTCTGACTTCTTAGAAGATAACTATCTGGTCAAATTTTTTTTGAAGGATGAAGAAAAGTTGGAAGTCGACCCGAGCGGTGGTTCAGTCAAGGTGAAGTGCTGACCCGTATATATAAATGTAACAGTATGATCTACATCGGGAAAGGCAGTAGACTTTACCAGGCCTGTGAAAAAAACAGATATACCCTACTGATGAGAGCGATAAACAGTTCCAGTTTGTCTTTCAGTTGACACTTTTCAACATATAGCAGCTAATAAAGTATATCACTGTGAATATAGATGCTGTACAACGTATTAGCCAACTGACTGCAGTGTACAATGAGAAGGGAATTTTTTTAAATTTACACTATCTGAACTAAACACGGAAACTGGTTACCATCGGGCAAAACCTTCGCAAGTGAACATACCCCTTGTGTCACATGAGTTTTACATGAATAATAACAGACAAATAAGAACACTACTGACCTATTTTCGTTAATGAGTATTTATTAAATATTTACATTTTTCTATTATTATTATTATTATTATTATTATATTATTACTATTATTCCTTTGCTTTCCGAGTGGAATATAGGGCTTCAACAACAAATCTCTACTTTGTTCTGTTTTCTGCCATCCTCTTCAGCTGGGCTCACGATTGACCAAACTTTCTCATCTCCTCCTCAAACAATCTCCTCCATGTCGCACTAAGACAACCCACTCATTGCTTCCAACTTGGATTCCACTCGAGGGCCTGGCGTGCTATGTCGTTCGGCGACCTCCTCAATTTATGCCTGATCCATCTCCACTTTCTCTTACATAAATCTTGAGCGATCGGCTCTTACTTTGTTGGTTTGTTCCCATAGTTTCTTTTTGCTTATTCTTTCTGGCTGGCGATTCGATCTTCATGATGAAGCCAGAGAAGGCAGCTGTTGATGAAAGTCTGCACTGGCCTGTTGGGAATACTTTTCGTGACTGACACGCAATGCAAGTTTCCGACCCGTATAGAAGGACAAACTTGACGTTCGTGTTGAAAATGCGAGTCTTGTTCGTTATTCTGGGTGCGGAAAACTTCCAAACTGGTTTCAGGTTGATAAAGGCGTGTCCTGCTTTTCCGATTCTGACTGGCCTTGATATCTTCGTCCATTCCGACTGTCTGTTGTTGAAATGATGCTTCTTGACCAGATAAGTGAAGCAGGCAACCTCTGCTAAATCTCTCCCTTTGATAGTGATTGGTGGTTGTTGTTGTTGCGGTTCGTCGGATATCTTCATCACCTCCGTCTTCTCAGTGTTCACCTGCAGTCGTTGTCTCTTCTGCCAGTTCATTGGTTTTCGCTTGCAAGTCCTCGAGTTTGTGTGACATTAGATATTAAATCATCCACAGGCGAAATCCAGATCTTCTAGAGTCTTCTTATCGGTTGTCCATCGTATTCCTGTCCCCTCGCTCCCAACAGTCTGACGCATAATCCAGTCCACCACAGTTAAGAACATCATTGATAATAGGCAGGCAGCTTTGTCTTTTGCTAGTTCGATAAAATTTTATAAACTTTCCATTTGATTTTTATTACTTTTATTAATCTTATTTGCAGACTGTTGGTGAACGTTGGGGCTTAGATACATGGGTACACGCTGTAAAGAAAACAAGTAATTGGTTACCATACGTAAAGTTGAAGCCGAGACGAGATGAATATTTAGTAAGAATGATAATGGAGTTAAGATGTAGTACAACGATAGATGATCTTTTGTTAGCTGCATCAAATTTTTTACAGATAAGATCAGCTGAAGTAAGCAATCTGTTGTGATACATATATATTAAAAACTCTGTTACGATTTAATAAACTATTTATCATAGTTAAAAATGAAGTAAGGATGTAGCAAGGTATTAAGTAATGATCACTGGTTTCGAGTCCTGATGTTTAATTCTCAGCAATGTATTGATTGAGATGTAATATGTCTTTAGGCCTTAAATATTGACAAATTTCTACCTGTTAGGTCTGTAATGTAGAATATGTTGAAAATAGATTTCGGATTTGCGAAATTATTCTTAATTAAGTTGTTCCTTACATGTAACTGTTTCTTCCAAAACCTTTATGTTATTATTATTATATCATTTAATTCCTAGAGGAACATAGGGCTTCAGCTGCTGTGCATCTCCATTGCCTTCTGTTTTCTGCCAACTTTTTCACTTCTCTCCAAGTCTGCCCACATGCTTTCATCTCCTCTCCACATCACCTCCTCCAAGTCACCCTTGCACTAACGACCAACTCGCCGCTTCCCTTTCGACCGGATTCCACTCGAGCAATAGCTTGCCTAGTGATGTCACTTGATGGTTACCTCAGCGTATGGCCAATCCATCTCCATTTCTTCCTGCCTATTTGTTTCACAATCGGTTACTGCTTGGTTGGTTTACTCATTGCCAGAGATCCCTGTTGCTGATCTTTTCTGGCTGGCCATCTGATCTTGAGTATTGAGCGACGACAACTGTTAATGAAGATCTGTAGTTTATTTGAGGTGCTCTTTATGACGCGCCAAGTCCCTGATCCATCCGTATAGTAGCACTGACTTCACATTGGAGTTGAAAATCCGGATGTTATTTTCTATGCTGAGTGATGTTGACCTCCACACAGACTTAAGGGTAATGAAAGCCTGTCTTGCTTTTCCGATTCTGGCTTTGATATCCTCCTCAGTTCCGCCTGTAGTTGAAACGATACTTCCCAGATAGGTTGGTAGGTAAGGGAGGTTGTTTCTTTCAGGTTCCTCCCATTTATGCTGGCTGTTGTTGTTGTTGCTGTTCGTGTTGGTGTTGGCCAGGAATCTTCATCACCTCTGTTTTATCTATGTTCACCTGAAGGAAGTCCTATCTTTGATGCTTCTTCTGCCAGCTTGTTGCTTTTCACTTGCATATCTTCCAGTTTGTGGGAAATCAGACATATATCATTGGCGAAGTCTAGATCCTCCAAGTTTTTTGTGTGAGTTCATTTTATGCCTGTTTCCTCATTGTTCGCTGTTTGTCGCATTATCCAATCTACTGCAATCAGGAAAATCATTGGCGATAACCAACAGCCTTCCCTAACTCCTGTTTTCACTTCGAAGGCTTCTGTAAGTTTCCCGTTGTGAATTACTTGACATGCAGCGTTGTCGTACAACTGTTGGATGAGATGTATAATTGTCGATGGGACCCCGTAGTAGCGAAGTAGTTTCCAAATGACCTCAGTCGACGCTGTCGAAGGCCTTTTCAAAGTCGATGAAGTTGAGGGAGTGGAGAGGTGACTGCCATTCTAAGCTTTGTTCAATGATGGTCCGTAGAGTGGCGATTTGATCAATACATGATCTGTTTCTCCTGAATCCAGCTTGTTCTGGTCGAAGTTTTTCATCTAGTGGCTTGCTTGATTCTCTCCAGGATGATGCGTCTATGTATTTTGCTTTGGATGGACAGGAGCGTAATTCCGCACCAGTTTTTGCATTGACTTAAGTCTCCTTTCTTTGGTAGTTTGAATAAATATCCTTTCTTCCAATCCTCAGGTACTTTGCCCTCTTTCCACACCTTCTCCAGCAGTGGTGTCGTCAACTCCGCTGTTGTCTCTGGGTCTATTTTCAAAGCTTCTGCTGGGATTCCATCTGGTCCTGCTGCTTTCCCAGCTTTTAGCATCTTGATTGCATTCAGGACTTCTGATTTTGTCGGGGGGTCAATGTTCACTGGTAGTTCTGCTTCCGTTGTTGGTATTGTTGGGCACGTTGTAGGTGGCGGATGATTTAGAAGTCTTTTGAAGTGTTCAGCCCAGTGTTTTCTTTGCTCCACCTCTTTGGTGATTGACTTTTCATTGTCATCCTTGACTGGCTTAATCTGTGTTGAACTTTTGCCCGATAGGTGCCTAGTTGTTTGGTAGACTGTGGCGAGGTCTCCTTTGTCTGCAGCTTGTTTGTTCTGTCTCACTTGCCATGGCTTCATAATATTTTATTTTGTCTTCTTTGGCACCCTTCTTCACTCTTTTGTTCAGCGTATTGTAGCTTGCATTCAACTCCTGTTTGTGTTGCTCGTCGGTGCACTGGATAATCTTTTGTTTCACTGTCCTTCTCTCTTCTATTAGTTTCCGAGTGTCCATAGTGAGCCACTCTTTGTCCTGCCTCTTCTTTCTGCCTAGAACTTCCATGCAAGTTTGGCTCTACACCGTTTTCAAGTTGTCCCAGTGCTTTTCGACGCCGACCTCTTCTCTAGTGTTGATTTGTGTCTCGGCTTTTTCCCTCATGTTTGCATTGAAGATGTCTTTTGTAGCCTGGTCCTTCAGTTTTGGAGTGTTGAACTTGGCTTGTGGTCTCTCTGCAGCTCCTGTTTCCCTGAAAGCTTTTAATTTGATTTGGATTGTCCCTTGTACGAGATAGTGGTCTGAGCCAACGTATGCTCCTCTTCTTACTTTTGTGTCCAGTAGGCTGCGCCTCCACTTCCTTGAGATTTAGATGAAGTCAATTTGGTTTTTGGTTTTCCCATCTGGTGACATCCATGTAGCCTTGTGGATATCTTTGTGTTTGTATACGCTGCCACCAATCACTAGTTCGTTGAAGGTGCAGAAGTCGGTGAAGAGTTCTCCATTTTCATTCATTTCTCCGAGAGCTTCTCTACCTATGATGAGTTCCCTTCCTGTGTTGTCTGGTCCCAGTTTGGCGTTCATGTTTCCATTAGTATTTTAATGTCACCAGCTGGAGTATTGTCCATTGCTGCCTGTAGTTGTCTGTAGAATTCTTCTTCCTTTTCGAGGTCTGCGTTGTTTGTGGGTGCATAACATTGTATGATTGACACTTTCCTTCCTTTTGAGTCGGATCTAGCGGTCATTATCCTGGACGACATCGCCTCCCATTGCATCAGGGCCTTTGTTTCCGTTGGTGACATCATGATAGCCACGCCCTCGGTGTGCGTGTGGTTATCTTCTGGGTGACCGGAGTAGATCACTGACTCACCTGTTGACAATTTGGTGAGTCCACTCCCATTCCATCTGCTCTCACATATTCCCGGTACTTGGATTCCGTATCTTTTCATCTCATTTGCGATCTGGGCAGCTTTTCTAATCTTTATGTTACTTCCCCGAAATTCCTGCCCTTCTGGGTGATCACTGTTAGTAGTTAAACCAAGTGAGATGAAGTCATTTATAAAATGCATATTATCATTATTATTGTTCCCTTGAGTTCCTAGTAGCACATAGGGCTTCAATAGTCTATCTTCACTTTGTCCTGTTCTCTGCACTCTACGTTAGCTGGCCCCACGATTTCCCACTAGCTTTTGTCTCGTTCTCACATGATCACTTTCATACCACCCTCGAACTCACGATGAACCCGTTATTTCCATTGAACTTCCACTGCAACGATGGCCTAGTAAGCAATATTACCTGAAGGTCCCTTCAAGGCCCTATCCATCTCCATTGTTGATTGGTTTTCTCTCCTTACCCAACAATGTACGCCCTACCTAATTGTTTCTCACTATATTATACCACTTAATATGAAAGATAGAACGTAAACACCTGTAGTCAACGGCAGTTAGCCTCTTCATATCTTTCACTTTCGACGTCTATGTTTAGCAATCTCAAAGAAGGAAGGAGTGATCTGCTAAACAATATACACGTCTTTTTATGGATAGCAGGATATCACTTTGGAGATGAATCAGTCAAGAACCTAGCGCTCAACAACTGTTCCGTTGAGGAGACCGTCGGACGACATAGCTTGCCAGGCTATCGCTCAAGTAGAACGCGAATCGGGAACTACTAGTCGTGCTTGTGTCCGGGAGTGACATGGAGGAGATCATGTAAAGATCAGATTAAGGCTTATGGAGAATCGACGAGCTAGTTAAGGAGGACTGAAATTGAAACTTGTTGTTGAGACTTGTTGAGACACTTGGAACCCAAGGAAATTATAATAAAATTCCATATGAGCTATAGATTACTAGTCAAAGACATAAAACATTATGTTTTGACTAATTAAAAGGTACCAATGAAAATGAAAAATAAAACAATTTAGTTTATCTAATACCCTGTCTCCGATGATTGTCAGGTCAAATACATAAGTCAAACTAGTAGAACAGGGGCATTCAGTCAGACTAACCGAGCATAAAAACCTAGCGAAATCTAGATTAGTTGACCAAAATAAGATAAGAAATCTAGAGAATAGTTCAGCTGTAGCACTCACCACATGCAATTACACACAACCATACAATAGGATGGGACAGGATGACAGTTTTAAAATCTAATGTAACTGCAGGGTGGAGGGAGAGATTGATAACGGAAGCCTTGTTTGTCGAATCAACGTGTAATAGGAATAATTCAACACCTGTCCATCCAGATATCTAGAAAATTCTACTACCCCTACGACGACAAATAGGAGAGGCCCAAAAAACTATAAAACTCAAGTTTCGACGTCGTGTGATTATAATTGGTGATATGATTATGAACAGTAATGAATTGTATTCGAAACCTTGTCATCCAGTAATTAATACTGTTTCACTGTGTGATACATCTAATAAACAAACTAATATGGAATTACTTACTATTGCAGTGCCCAAGTTTTACGCATATATTAAAATCCAACGATGTGATGTTTAATTTAAGTTATAATCAAATGTCTGATTTATGCATCACATTGGGAAAATTGACTCAATATATCTCCTCCTGATCTAACACTAACTGGTGAACAAACAACCTGAATGATATGTCCATGAAAATTTCATGAATTGTGAAATAGATTAATATGTCGTTGCGTAATAAGCAACCATTGGAAACAAGTACTTCCAATAAGAACGTCAGCAGTATTTTAACCATCCGATATGATTCCATAAACACTATGATGCTAAGTTGAAATCAAATGCCATGATGAAGTCACATAGGATAGCAGCTATTCTGACTTCCTGTTAGTTCTTCATAAAGCTGGAATCAAAAAGTATTATCACAAATAAGCCTAGTTGTGAGTATATTTCATTCTAAATATTTTTATCGTCAGCTAAAGCATACATATAAACATTTTAGTGTCAAATATTATTTTGTCTAGCGCGTACAACAGTCATTACGTCATCATGCAATGCTTGTTCAACATCCTCCTATGATACATACAGCTTCTGTTGTGTCACATAAACGTGGACAAAGTACTATTGAAATATTCAAGAAGATATATACAAATCCTGAACTTTATTCAAGGTGAATTGTTTTGTTATTATTTATTAAAAGATGCATGTATTTATATAGTATAAAATGTCAAATTTCTGTAATATCTTTTACTAACTACTTTGTAATTATTTTAGCTAAATTAAATTATTAAGTAAATTATTTAATAAATGAGTAATAAAGAGTAAGTCTATCTGAGATAGATTTAACCTAGCTGACTGTTACCCATATATTAGTCTTGTAACCCTGGGGTCCTAGATTGGGTTCCTGGGGTGGTTATGGGTGCATTCTGATGAAGACTCCGACTTCTGAGCGTAACGGCTGTCCAGTAGTCTATGCTGGTTCTCATTGGTTCTATAACTGATATCAATCCACAATCAAACTCGAAGCAAATCAAATCCGTACAAACTGACACCAGAAAATTAATCTGATACTCGCTTGCCTGGAGCTCCAGTGAGAAGTCGTGACCATTGGTGTCCTTCTGGTCGGGCGTAAGCACAAAAACTCGCCAGTAACACTGATTAGTAGTTTTACTAAAGTTGCAGATTGGTAGAAATTGGAATTCATGTGTTGGCCATTGGGTTGGGTACCAATTAGTAAATGGTGTACGCGCTTATCTTGTGGCTGGAAGGTCGTGGGTTTGAATTCTGGTAGTGGTTGCAAAATAGGAAGAAACGGCCCTCGAGTATTCTCTGGTTTTCAGTTGTCCTCTAAATTACATCAAACCATGATCAAATTTCAACCAAATCCAATACCTACAAACTAACTCTTGAAGATGATGTATAAGTTGTTAATGATTATTACTTATCTGGAAAAGCCTCATACTTTATTCACTAGACATACGTTTATGCACTGGGAAAATTCCATCATGAGCTTATCTGATAGTAATTTTTCAAAAGAATATGATATTTTGAAGAGAAATAAATTTCTACGCATAATACTCTCATATTTACCGTCTATTAATCATGAATACCGGAGGTTATGAAGATAACCAGCCGACAACAGCAGCAGAAACATCCAGCGCCAATCACCATCAATGGGAGGGATTCGAAAGAGGTTAATTCATTCGCTCACTTATCTAGGGAGCATTGTATCAACTACAGGGAGTCGGAACGAACGAGTATGTCAAATCGAGCGAGAATCGGGAAGGCGAGCGAGAAACACATTCATTTATCAACCTGAAACCAATCTGGAAATCTTCGTCACTCAGCCAGCATCAACAACAAAATTCGGACTTTCAATACAAACGTCATGTCAGTCAGTTCTTTTATACGGATCAGAAAGTTGGCGGGCGGGTCACAAAGAATATTTCCAACAGCCTGTTGCAGACCAGACATTTATCAACCAGCAACTGTCTTCGCTGGATCTATACTGAAGATCAGATGGCCGGGTCGGAAAGAATCACCAACAAGAAACTATGGGAAGAAACAAACAAAACAAGAACCAATCACCAACCAACAAATATGCAGGAGAAAGTGGAGATGGATTGAACCCTAGCTGAGGAGGCCGCTGGGTGACATCCCGCGGGCGTCAGGCCACTGCTCGAGTGGAACCAGGCCGAAAGGGAGGCGGTGAGTGGATCGTCGGTGTGAGGGTGATATGGAGGAGATCGTGTGAAGAGGAGTTGAAAGAATATGGACTAACATGGATGCAGGTGAGAAGTAGAGCAGAAGACAGAAGCAAGTGGAGACGTGCAGTTGAAGCCCTATGTTCCACTAGGAACCCAAGGGAATAATAATAAAAAAATAATGAATACATTTAGTAGAATTACGACTGAATACACTTAATGATTATGATACCATCTTTTGGCGTAACCTTAAGTTTCACTCCATTTTGATAAAGTCTCACAGTGTTATACAGTAATATTGTTTACTGATGACCACTTTTCGAGCACAATTTATTCCCACTCATAATCATATCAAGGCATAACTCACACAACTTGACACATTTAAACTCACTAGTAGGGGGAATAAAATTCACATTTGAATTGGAAAATGAACAAGGAGAATTAGCTATGTTAGATTGTAAAATAAAACGTGTAGAAGAAGGTAAACTGCACACACTAGCGTTTATAAAAAACCAACGCATTCTAATAGACATTTAGACTGTAATTCATCTTATCCGTTATCTATCTGTAAAGGCAGGCTTAGTTAAGTGTCTAACAAACCGAGCAGTGGCACTAAGTAACACAAAAAAAAGATCTAAATGATGAATTAAAACAGATAGAAGAAGCGTTGGTGTTGAATAACTATCCTATAAAATTCATCAGGAAGATCATTAAAGGCCAAAAACAAAATAAAAATAATTGTGAAACTAGTAATAATAACATAAATAAGAAAGAATATAAGTCATCCACAGTTATACCATATAAAGAGGGGACATCTGAGACACTACGTAGGATTCTGAATAAAATAGGAATTAGGGTGGCATTTAAACCTTCAAGATCACTCAGAGACAAGCCCTGCAGGTTAAAGGACCCTGTCGGTTGACCCAATTACACAAAATAATATGATTAACAAAATACCCTGCAATGACTGTGAGTTAAGTCAACTACATAAGTCAAACTAGTAGGCCAGGGGTAGTCAGATTATCAGAACATAAGAATTTAGCTAAGGTAAGAATGGCTGACCCGAGAAGATAAGTAATTAAGAAAAAAGTTCAACGATTGCACTGCATGCATTAACACATAACTACGCAATAGGGTAATAGGAGAGGGTTAAAATTCTAAGAAGTAATATGGGTAGGTGGAGAGAAAGGTTGATTACTGAATCCTGCCTGGATCATCAAGTCTACAGTCAACATGTGCAATAGGAATGACTCATCACTGATACCGGGAATATGGAAAATACTACTACCAATCAAATCAGGCGATGGAAAATAATGATGGAATTATATAAACAAAGTTACAAAGTTGTAGGCGTACCTTGATATGATTATGAGTGGTAATAAATTGTGCTCGAAATGTGGTCATCAGTAAATAATATTAGTGTATAACAAACACTGTGAGGCTTTATCAAAATAAATTTTACCTATAATGGAATTATACTCTACCATAGTGCACAAGTTCTATTCTTATATCAACTTCTGTGTTACACTTGCTAAAATGAGTTGAAAAATGTAGATTTTTGTTTGGTTGAATTATTATTTCAATTGTTTGGGTTTTAGGCGAATTTAGACAACAGCTAGACAACATTAACTCATATGTAAAAATGTCTGATTCTAGGTGATGGGTGTAGTCTATCGACTAGACAAACTTGTTGGTGCATTGAATTACATTGTCAATTAGTGACATGTCTAGCACCATCTAATCTTTAGTCAATGATTATTGGCCATATATCTCAAGATAGATTCTTTACAGAGAAATGTGTGTGTAAATAGTTCAGAAAAGTTCCTTTTAAGTTTTGTGAGAAAAAAATATCAAGCTTTGCAAACAAAAAAAATTAGTAACCAAATTGATCATTGAATCATTGTTTATATTTGTTCACCATGGTGATACAAACTAAAAATGGAGCCATCCATCCATGTTTATACCTTAACATTACAATTTATTCTAGATTAAACAAGGTCAACTATTTTAATAAAAAAATATATGTAAATATACATGAAATTTCTAGTTTTGATGTTAGTTACTTTAAGTCATATTTCATGAATAAAAAAATTATATGATCAAGAAAACTTCTAATGTTTTTTTATCAACACGATCAGTTCTTGGTTTTACACTGAAACTGGCTCCGTGATTCGATGCTATTGAACTTATTCCTGGGAATTTATCTGTAAATAGGTATGTTGATGCATATGTGATAAATGGATCAGTGATAGGGAAGTCATTTAACCATTTGAGTAGATATCAGGATAGTGGAGCAATAATACAGGTGATCAGAGTTATGACAATAAAACTCAGTTGTACGAATAAAAGTCTATGTTGGCAAAATAAATGAGCTAATTAGAACTTTCTGAACTAGGCTTCGGTTTCTAGCCAACGACTTCTTTACACCCTTTAGCTGGTAATAAAGTCAATGAAGAGGGGAGTTTGAATGTGAGGCTAGCAACCACATTTCGTCAAAAAACAACACTCCTACTGAAGCTTCGAAACTCAAGCTTTTGTAGCCCTATGTTCTATCGGAACGCCTAGGTATGAAAAAAAAGAGTTCTGAAACTTCTTTTTAAAAGTTTTACTTGTTATTAATAAAATCAACGTGACACCTTGGTAAGGTAGTTACTGGTGACAGAAAAGAAAAGGCTAAACTAATAAGTCATATATTGAAATTACGAAAAAAGACACGGGAAAAGCAGAGAAACTTTGCCTTCCTTATGAAAACATTCGTTTCTACATTTCCTTTAATAAAAAAAATTTGAAGTCACCTGGCATATCGAAAATCTTGAATTTTGTTCTATCGTTAATTCATCAGATGGAGAGTGATTTATACATTTAGCTAGAACTCAGTGTGCAGAAAAGACTGTAGATACAATTAGTGCTTTGCTAAATAAGCGAAATGACGTAACAAGTTGATAGACTACATTCTGGTATAAAACTTCATACCTGTGGCCTTAAGAAACTTTGAATCCGGGTTTCATGTTTATCATCCCTAGTAAGTAGGGCATTAATGGCAATATCCTGCTAATAGTTGCATGTATCTGCTGGATACTTTGAAATGGTCAACATGGCTAAGACTGTTAACTATAAGCAGCTGTTTTGTTCTAGTTTATTACTCTTAAGGAGTTTCCACCCACCGTCAGGATTCGAAACCCAGGACCTTCCACCTAGCCAATGGGAGACAATCTATTGGCTAGACCATGAATTCTAACTTCTATCTACTCATGACCACCGACCAGTGTTATAGGTGAGTGGTCACGACGCCTCACTAGAACTACAGTCAAATTTGTCCTGTAGCTAGTCACTGCCGAGAAATCGTGACCACTGGCGTCCATCATGTGGGGCGTGTGAACAAATTCTCACCAATGACACTGGCTAGTAGTCGCGCTAAAATCATGAAATGGTAGAATTTGGAATTCATGGGTCACTGGATCGAGTCCTGGTGGCTAATTGGCGTACGAGCTAGCCTTGTAACCAGAAGGTCCTAGTTTCGGACTCCGGTGGTGGGTGGATAATGCTGAGCAATCGCAAACTTCGAATAAACACCTGTTCAGTATTCTTTGATATGAATCCGTAATCCAACCTGTATCCAATGAAATCCTTACAAACTAACTCCTGAAGACAGTTTTTTTATTTGCTAATCATAGTTTTCATAAGTGAACAATAAAATCGCTGTTGTTAATCAATGTATTCTATGCTAAATTTTAGTTCTTTTAGTTCAGCTGATGGCAAAAATAAAAGTGATGATTATGACTTTGTTCAGGCTATGCAAATGTTAGGCCTGGATGATGCTGGAAGCGGTAAAGATGATCCAACCAGTGTACAAGGAGCCTATCTTTCATTTCTTCATTTGAGACATTTAAAGCTACGGGATTTAATGCGTACAGTAAGTTGTTTAGTACACTTTATTTTCAAAATAATTCCGAAGTTTTGTTACATTTGCTAGGTTTCTGTGGAACCCAGAATAATTTGATACGTGTTTGGTAGAATATTTGCTTAGATATTCTCAATTTTAACTTTCTACACATTATACAGGCACTTAATATATGATTTGGGCTAACAAATTAATTTTAAGATTTAGTTGGCATGAAGTGATAAACCCTCGGTTTTATTCTGTAATGTGTAATTGCAGTGTGTGATATGATCCACCGGAAAACTAAGTACTTAACATTAGTAACACCTCGTTGACAAATTCTCCATTATTTAAAAGAAAAATTTGGAAAATGTCTGAGAGTACTAACAGCGTCTGGAAAGACCTTGAACCTATTACTTGGGTTGGATGAAACGGTGCCGCTAATTAACTTTATGATATGATACGATACCACAAATACCATGTTAACTTTGATGTTAACTAGCTGTTAGAACGGACAGCATATCGTTGTTAGCCGTGAAGTCATGATTGATACATGCACTGAAATCATAACCTATTTGGTGGCGGCGTTATTCAAGTTAGTACCTTCATAATACTCGTTTATGCTACATTTTTCCAGAACAGGTCTCGTCAGGTTAGTAATGCAACATACATCCATTTTATGCGTCGGTGGCAAAGCGGTTAGGACGCTCGCCGACCATGCACATGGTCCGGGGTTCGACTCCCGGCCGACGCACTCCTTCAGCTCGCTAAGCCAGAAATAATGCTGGTAAAGAGAGAAGGTTAGGCATGAGGCTAGCAACTCCATCCTGTAAAAATAAACACTGCTACAGAAACTTCAAGCCCCTAGCTAGAAGCCCTATGTTCCACTGGAACATGAAGGAAAAAATAATATATATATATATATCCATTTCAGTTGACCATCCAGCATGTATAACTAGTATTTCATGCTTTCTGAGGTAAGTTATTTGTATGTAAGAGTTTAAAACAGGCGGAAACTGTATCCTGAATTTTTTAAAATTCCTTTAGGTTCCCAGTGGAACATAGGGCTTCAAGCTAGAAGCTTGAAGCTTTTTTTATTTTATTATAGCTTGACTCCATATAGTATTTTTGATACAAGTATGGCATTTTCAGCATGTGATATCGGTAGCCCAAATTTTACAGGCTGACCATTGATATCGGGTGTGCGTCTGCCGGGGATCGAACTCCGGAGCATCTGCATGGTCGGCGTCCTAACCGCTGTGCCACTGACGCTTCGGTAGCAGTGGTATTTATTTTCACAGGATGGGGTTACTAGCTTCATATGCAATCTTCCCTCTTTACCAGTCTTGTTACTGGCTAAGTGAGGTAAAGCAGTGCGTCGGTGGCTGGGAATTGGACCCTAAACCACATGACGCATGGTTGGCGAGCATTCTACCGCTGCGCGACCGACGCACTGGCGGTCTCTACCAATCAAAAATCATCAATTTCAGTATAAGCTGTGGGTTGATTTTGGAAATATGTTTTGAAATGCAATTCAAAGAATGTCCTACGAACCCAGCGACTGGGGAATGCTAGTGCATCCATCTGACGAGTCCCAAATAGGACGAAATGCACGTCTCTGATACCACTGTTAGTCATCATCCACCAAAGCACTTAAAGCTAAGTCATTAGACATCGTCGAAGTATCCGCACAAGGAGCCAACACATCAGAAGAGGCCAAACATGTCGGTCCAGTCAACCAGCGGGAAAGTTCATATTGAATTAAATAATGTTCTAATGACTTTTGTGGATAAATAATGTCTTTATAATTTCCTTTGACTTTACTTTCACAGACTAATCTTTATTCTCATTTTAGTGTATATCTGTTTTGAATTACTTTCGTTCTATTGAAAGAACATTAACTATTAATGATCAAGGTTTATCTATGAGTGCTAAAGGTTCAGTTGAAAGAACGTAAGTTTATTAAACAACATCTTTTTGAGATTATTCATTTATAACGACCTCAGATTAACCTTAATCTAGGAAATGCGATGGTTACTTTACTTGACACCAAATTTAGTTTGTAGCAGGATTAACTCTTAAGGTCTTCGCGTATGGGGATGGAATACTAACGAAACGGAAGTATTCTGAAAATTCAGACTGAAGTTGATTTGAACCAAGTTACATAAGAATAATGACGGCAGTGCAGACAGTAGTGCCTGTATGATAGGTTAGAGCTCAGAGTGCATAACCGTTACAGAGATTCTTCACTGAACCATTTAAGACAGTGTTAAAAAGGTTATATTTAGTGCCATGGAACATATATAAGCACCATGATGTTAGTGATGCAGTACGGAAACGAACTGCTTCACATAATTACTGAGTTAAGTAAGGTACCTAGAAATTTATTTTTGGTAAATTAAATATTCCCATATTCCCATTTATTTTTATTTTATTTTTGACTACAGCTTGATTCCACACTGTATTTTTGGTACAAGTACCGAATTTTCAGCGTGGATATCGGTAGCCCTAATTTCGCAGGCCGACCATATATATCAGTTGTGCGTCGGCGCGGGCTCGAACCCCGGACCATACGCATGGTCGGCAAGAGTCCTAACGACTGTGCCACCTTGGACCTCAGTAATATATGCTGGCGGCCACCAGGATCTACACTGGGTTTACTGTGATTTTAATCTCCGGATAGCATTCCAATAAATCATATTTCCATTTTTCATTACACACATTTCCAAACTATTCTGAAACTGGCTAGCAACCGAAAACCTTTCTACTACAGTAATAATTGTTAAATAGTATTTCTGAAGAAATCCTTTCTAAATTTCAAAAACCTTACTTTTCATTTTACTTTACTTATAATTGGTAAATTATTTTCATTTTATAGGAGTCCACCAAATCATCGAGTCGGTGTAGATAATCAAGGTCATCAAGGCGGTGGTAACACCTTGAATGCTCATGGTTATCTCTTTAACACACCTCATGAATTCAAGTAAGTGAATTTGTTGTATGTCACCTTCAAATTTTTTAAAAATTGATATTAAAATGCATAATTATTTTCTGTCATTCTTATAAATATCTATTACATTAAATGAGTATGCTATAACAGATGATTCCTCTTATGAAATGAATAAAACCGACTCATCTTGGTCTGAATGAAGGAAACCGATCTTTGTATTTGGCTGTATAACTAGGGAAAACGTCTCTCAGTTACTCACAGTCACAAAATATCACAGCGACAGCAAAAAGACAGTCATTTACAATCAAATCTCCCGTCCTATTTAACAGTAATAACATATCATATTGTCAAAATTACCTCAACAATCCCCTAAGGTATACAGATGAAATTAAATATCATCTACAAAACAAGTACTATACAACCGAATTATTTAACCGAAATTAACCGTAAAAAAAATTGAAAATCAAATAGAATATTCCCAACATAGTGGGACCAAAACTCTGTCAGTAAGAATCACACAGCAAAAAGTTCCTAAAGACAGTTCAATGTCAGAGCGACCTTAACTCACTCAAACAAAATCTGAGTCCTAAAATAACACATTATCAATATCATCAATGAACAACCACAAAGGAAGCATGAAAACTAAAAATTAAATAGGAAAAAAAGAGAATGAATAATAGGGATTAAGTGAACACATGATGTCAGAACAACAATAAACAGGCCAGGTAGAAAAAGGATAATACTAACAAAGTCAGCTGAAATATCAAAGTATCATTTTTGTATTTTTTTAACATTGAATTTGAGATTTTCCCGTCGATTGATTGAACCGATGTGCTCGCAGTCTCAGGTTGACATGTCGGCTTCTTGCGCAGGTGCATGCTTCGACGATGTCTGGGCATTTAGTTAGTATTTAATTGGTGGATGGTGACTAGCAGTGGAATGTAGGATGCGCGTTTTGTCCTATTTTGCACTCGTCACCTGGATGTGCCTGCATTCCCCAGTGAGTCAGTGAAGATGTTCCCACCGAGGCTCGAATTCGGTCTCAATTAAATTGATATGACCCGTTGCACAACAGGTGGCTCTCGTGGCCAAAATGGTCTAGTGGGTAACGCTTTGGTATTTGAAACTATGGGCATTGGGCTCGTCACTGACTCCCTGGGGAATGCAGGCATATCCAGGTGACGAGTGCAAAATAGGACGAAATACACACCTAGGATTCTACTGCTAGTCACCATCCACCAATTAATTATCATTATTGTAATTAAATCGTTGAGGACGAATTTCTTTACGGTCGATGCACCCTTATACCTAGCTCAATTGGTATCAAGTTCAGTAAAGAATGGACGTAAGGCATGAGACTACCAGCCCCACCCCGTAAAAGATTGAACAAAAGCACCATTGTTACTGAATCTTCAGAGCTCACACATGAAGCCCTATATTCCACTGGGAACTCAAGAGAATTAAGAAATTAATACTTTAAACTTTTTCTTTTTAATCCTGGCAACCTCCTCGCGTACTATCAGTCATTTTAATAACCTCATATATATATATATCACAAAACTTCAGAATCTGGTTCTCTAATCAACTTGAAACCGAAGTCGTTCATCCATGCCTGGCGCTTAGTTTCAATAATTAGTTACTTGAAATGAATTCTGAGCAGTTTGAAAGACAAACTCCCTCATATGATCACTCCAATATGTCTATGTCATTACACCTGCTCCTGGGTAGCTAGATACATAAGTCGTTCTATGCAGAAGCGCCATAACTGAACACCTCGTCAATATGTGTCACAGAATCTCAAGTGACTTATCATTCAGAGTCATTTACAAAGTAAACACAAAAAATCTATCAAAGTCAGCGTGTTTCCGACTTCTCTATACTGCATAAATACTCGTCGTATTCATGAAGAACCCAAAGATGTGTTCGTAAGAAATTAGTCAAACGTCTACATTTATCATGGATCTAATTCAGTTTGACCCCTTAGTTTTCGTATTTTTGGTTTTTCGATTGCTTTCAGTTTTAAAAACTATTAATCCAATTTGTTTCTATTATCATCCCGTTCTCAACTTATTTCATTAAGAGCAATTTTGTTTTTACGAGTTGATCACGGGTTGATATCAGTTAGAAAACCATTGAAAACTAACAAGGAGGAGTACTGGGCAACTGTTATATCCTATTTTGGGAATCATCGGCCATACCTACCCACCACCAGGGTTCGAATCCAGGAACTTCCGGTTACAAAGCAAGCTCGTATGCCATTCAGTCACTGGGACCCAATTCAATGGCCAACTCATGAATTCTAACTTCTACCAATTCTTGATTTAGCGCGACCCCAACCAATGTCCTCGGCGGGATATCCATCCTCACACTTGACTGGATGGACCTCACTGGTTACGACTTCTCGCTAGAACCTCAGGAAACTCCGTCCTGTAGCAAATCACTAGCTAGTATCAGATTAATTTTCTATTTTCGAACCCCAGTGGGTGCGTACTGCCGATGATCAATTCGTAAAAATAAAACTATTGCTTACAGACCAACTGTAGAAAAAGAGCTATTTTGAATATTTTTCAATTATTTCCTAATGCTGTGTATTTTTTTCCTAAGCCCGCCCCTTATAATCTTTATTCACACCTTTTAACTATCATAATATCAAGTTGAAGATTATTACCACATTAAATCTCTTTCTTTATCCTGTAGAATTAAATATTAATAATTTTATCTATGTAAAGACGACTTTACAGCTGCTTTTGAGGATGAAATCACCGAAAAGATTAGGCATCTTCACTGAAGTTTTTGTTCTTTTCTCTCTCCAAAAACTGAAGAAAGAGAATCCGTACATGAAGGAGAAATTACAGATTCCATTTTATGTAATCTGAATAGAAAAAGTGTCAGTAAAATACAATTAGCTAATTCGTAAATGACATGAAATTGAGATTCGGTTAACCCTTGATTTTTATAAGACATTGGTTGAAGGATTTCATCATGAGCTGACATCGGTTAGAGAACCATTGGAAATACTTGGAAGTACTGGACAACTGTTTCGTCAGTCTAGTTTGGTACCCCTCGGCAGTACGTACCCACAGGGTTCGGTTTCAAGGCGAGCTATCTCGTAGACCACTAAGCCATTGGGACCACTAGGACAATCGATTAAGGGAGAGAGAGACAGAGAATTGCTCATCTGAAACACAGTCTATTTGTTCAAGTTTTACATTAATTTCAATTGTTAACTATCTCAGACATTACGATAAGTTTTTACATCTTGTCTTACATAAGTTATCTGTAAACATTTCTTGAATAAATTAATATTTTTTAGAATTAAAGAAATTGAATTTATGCAATTCGCTGATATTGAAAATCATGATGATTTTTATTATCATGAAGAGGAGAGAATACACGTTCGAGATCAAATTGGTTATTGGATCGTGTATGATTGTGCATTGGATGATTTCAGGTAAGTAAACAGGCAAAGAACAATATCACTGTAGTCACGCACACACACACACACACAAGCACACTGGTAATATGTATTGAAATAGATTTTTGTCAAGGTATTTGTGTAGATCTACCAACAGATCACATTTCTTGCTCAAAGAAAGGAAGTTGATAATCATTCTGCGAATATTTTTTAACAGTAATAAATTACTAAGCAGAAAATGGAGATGGATCGGTCATACTTTGAGGAGGCCGTCGAGCAGAACCTCAAAAGGAAGCGATGAATGAGTCGCTGGTGTGAAGGTGAAATGGTGGAGATCACGTGTGGAGGAGAGGAGAGATTATGGGCAATCGTGGACCCAGATGAAAAGGACAGTAGAAAATATGACAAAGTGGAAAAGTGTTGTTGAAGCCATATGTTCCTTTCGGAAGCTAAGGTAATAATAAATAAAAATAATAATAAATAAGTAGGACAAGTGATGTTCTGCATAGTTTAAAGACAAACTCAATGAATTTCATATTGAGTCGCATAAGTTTGAATAACGGGAAATAAATCCCCTTAAGATTCCTGGAAAACTTTTTCGATGGATACTAATGATCAGAGAAGCTAAATCCACGGTTTCCTGTCTGTAGATTCCCATCAAAGACTGCAGTAATTTCCATTTTATTGCTTTTCTGATATTTTGGTTGTTAAAATGTTGTCACGAACCATTATCAGTTAGACAGATCATCGAAGGCATTGGTGAGAGCAACTCTATATCAGCAGTTGACTAAGTAAGAATCCATCAGTCACTGAATTCCATTCCAATTGGCTGAACGGTCAACTAGCAGCTTGCTCCCTTAACCTGAAGGTTTCTAGTGGTGTGGTTCTGGGTCCGCATTTCCGAAGAGTCCAATTGATCCTAACTGGTATTCAATGACCTCTCTAAACGATGTTGGCTTTTGACAAGTGTCTAACCATTGAAATTGATCCAAAATCCCCATAAATTCTATTGTCTGATATTATTGAAATGTTGGATTCCAGATAGTATAGAATCAAATCAATAACCACCTGTCATATATGCTTACTACGTATAAATGAGAACGAACCGATACCCATTATGTGAAGTTTTGTGAAATAAAATACGCTAAGATCATTTAAAGAGTATCAAAAAATTTAATACTGTAGGCGTAGCGGCAATAATACTAGTCCTGAAATAGAGACATACGCTCCACATTTGAAACTGTTGTTATTACTGAAACAACATAAGTCCATCGGTGTCACAGTGGTTAGGACTCTCACGGACCATGCACGTGGACCATGGTTCGATCCCCTGCCGACGCACACTCGTTATCTATGGTCGGCCTGCAAAATTTGGACTACCGATATCACATGCTGAAAATGCCATACTTGTACCGAAAATACGGTGTGGCATCAAGCTGTAATCAGAGTAAAAAAATAAGTAGATTATTGGTAATTCAATTCTGAAGGGAAAGAATAGTTGCGCTCAGAGTGCTATTACCATATGTTTTATTGAAATCTTTTTAAGAGAATAAGAAGCTTGTAATTTGTACTGCTACCGTGGTGAGAGCTGTATGCGATCTAGCTAAAATTGTAGACCACACTTTACGTCAGTGTGCACATCCCGAATCACGGTCAGTAACAAAGCTTAACCTTGAGGAACTTACCAACCAATCACAGCCAGCTTAGCGTGTGCAAACACGATTCGCAGATATATGGCTTAGCTTTCTGAGAAACGGTCACAAGCAATACGCAGTAACCTTGAGTAAGAAAACGACCAATCAGAAGCTGTTGCTTCTCCGCTGACAATAATATACATAAAAATCTGTAAATATCCCATAATTTTCTCAATAAACGATCTAAAACATTTAGTTCCTTTTATAACTTAGATAAAGCAATAAGAAGACGTAATTTGTCTGAATCGTGTATTGTGTATTTGCACAACACATTTCGAACAATCTGATACATGCGAAAAATGATGTCATATCCCACTGTATTTACCAGTTTGAATGTACATGTGGACACACATACATAGGGAGGACTCATGGATCTCTGCAAATAAGGGATTCACAGCATATTCTTAAGTGGCTCCAGAAACAAATAGAATCTTCAGAACCCATTGATGGTGAGAACAGGAGACCTAGCTCCTCTATTGCCAAACATATTATAGAGACAGGACATAAAAGTGACGTTAACAGGTCTTTTAAACCTATCGATAGAACGTGTATGAGGCGTATCCTAAAGTTTGTGGAAGCCCTAGCTCTGGCAGTTAGGAAGTTTAAACCACCTTTGTCAGGTCAAAGCAACTATTCGTCATCACACTAAACCTTCTTTGGTAAGCTTTGTTTTAGTATCAGGGCAGATGTCCTATTATCTCTTTTATTTGGTTTAGTGATTTTCATTGTTATTTTGACCATGAATATGTCCTTTTAACTTGACCTAACTTATCTATTTTCTCACCTCCTAACTCTTTAATAATTTCATATATATATATTCCTATGACAAAACCGTGGAGTGTGATCAGATTGTTCGAAATGTGTGTTGCGCAAATACCGTTGCACGATTCAAATAAATGATCTGTTGCCTAGTCTTTATCTTCTTTCGTTAAACTAGTAAATGAACAACTACAATATTTCAGGATTTCATCATGAGCTGACATTAGTTAGAGAACCATTGGAAAACCTGGGAAATCCCTACAAACCATCACTTGAATACCAATGAGATGCTCACTGGCGACTGGCCCTATTCAGGTAGGTAGTTACCTGGGTTCCAGGGGGAAGTCGTGACCAGTAGGGTGCAGCCGGTCGCGTATGAGCACAAATACTCGCCGAAGACATTGGCTGGCGGTTGCGCTATGTCGTGAGTTGGCAGAAGTTAGAATTCAAGGACCATTGGATCGGGTCCCAGTGGCTTAATGGTATACGAGCTCGCTAGCCTTGTAACCGGAAGGTCCTGGGTTCGAATCCCGGTGGATGCGTACTGCTGGAGTGTCCCAAACTAGGACGGAGGGAACAGCTGTCCAATACTCCCAGTTGGTTTTCCAATGGTTCTCTAACTAATGTCAGCTCATGATGAAATCCTGAAACCAATCAAATCCCTACAAACCATCACTTGAACTACAATATTTGTTGTTGTCTTTTTTCACTTGTATTTTCGTGCTAATGAAATTCGGTTTTCATTCTGATAAAGAATGTCTAAATTTCAACATTCAAATACCTTCAGATGACAACAACCTGCTTTTCACTCAATCTATAGTCGCATAAAGAATACAATCGATGCTTTTGGGTATTTTATTCTTTAGGAGAGGATACAAATAAAGGGTGTGAGAAGTGACTATTCAGTCTCTGAAATCCTATTTATAACTGTACCATAAGGAATTTCTTGGTTTTCAAACCGTCTATATTCTTTATAACCTTTTTTTCAGTTTATTATGTTTCGTATATGATGCATTTCATATTGCTAATAATAATAATAACCATTGTAATTACAATTGTGAATGTCAGTAACATTTTATTGTTAAATTCGTATTACTTTCACTTATTGTAGGGACCTTGAACGTGATATACTTTTGATTGCTACATCTTTCATACAAAAAGATAGAGCAGTTTCTTCATCTTCTAATGTTAAAAGGAAACCTTCAGCTTCAAGTGTAAGGAATATATATACATATATATTTATATCCTGTTTTTGTTACTTTCAATTTATCACTTAAGACGTATATATTTGTTTCAATTAAAATTTTGTTATTATAGTAACAGATCAAGGCAAGATATATAACTAGCCAACTATACCTTATATTAGAATGACTGCGGCTCCGGTTACACAGTGGCTGAATACTCTCCATCCAGGCAGGTCACTCGGGGTTCGATCCCCGATCACCGACGCACTCCTTTACCTCGCTAAGCCAGTAGTAAGACTGGTAAGAAGGGAAGGCTGTGCATGAGGTTAGCAACCCCCATTCTGTTAGAATAAATACCATTGCTATGGAAACTTCAAGCCTATAGCTTGAAGCCCTATGTTCCACTGGGAAACGCGAAGGAATAAAATAAAAGATAAAAATAAAATAAATTACAATAACCACAAGAGACGGTAATCATTGCAGTTCATAATGCAGTACATATTATTACTCCTTTATGTTCCGAGTGGAACATAAGTCTTCAACAGCACAGCTACACCCTGTACTATTTTCCGCGGCCCTCTACAGCTGATCCAACGATTGCTCATTAGCTCTCATCTTGTCGTCATACGATATCCTCCATGACAATGTCGGATTCAAGCCCAAATCGTTGTTCCCTGTTCAGAGTCCACTCAAGTGTCCGCTTGTTGCGTGATGTCATTCAACGGTCCCTTCAGCATGTATATATTGTGCATTAATTGAAGAATTATGAAATATCATAAAAATACAATATTATTCATGGATAGCTACAAAAAGGGTGATTACAATTACTTTAAATATTGGCGGCACACATAGAAGGGGAAGGAGTTTAAGTTGGACAAAGTTGCGAACCGTTTTTCACTATATGTACAGGTCGATCATCTCCAGATATTCTGATAACTTACTACATAGTAATTTACAAAAAAATAAGAGCTGAGGAGGAAAATGGTGCTAGTGGCGAATAATAAACATAAGATAAAGTAGACCATAAGAAGAATGTGACCATGGTAAAACTGGGAACATTTTGTCGTACTCCATTATGTAGACAGTGTTGACGCTTGAACTGATAAACTGAGAAAACTTTGATTTGTTCAACTCGGTTGCTTGTATTTCATTATGAAATGTTTTAGCTTACCTTGTAGACAATTTTTTAAGTAACTAAGTGGAAGTCAGGACAGTCAGAGTTAGATTTTAGATGAAGTCGGAGATATGTTGTCCTTCCGTATGACTGTTAAACACTGTGTTGGGGAACTAAAACACGGTCTACTCAATTTAATAACTTGCCATGTCATTATTATTATTCCTTTGGCTTCAAAGTGGATGTCAGAATTCGACAGCACATTTTCATTTCATCCAGTTTTATGTAATCGTCTCATGCTGGATCCACGATCGTCAGTAAGCTCTTCTCTTGTCATCACTAAACCTCGGAGCATTACGCAGCTCATCGGTCCCTTCAACATGTGTCCAATCCACCTCGACTTCCATCTAGCTATTTGTTGCGAAATAGGTTCATGATTTATTCGTTCTCAGAGTCCTCTGCAATGAATCCCTTCTAAACACCTGATATTTAGTATCAAACAAAGACAACTGTTGATGAAAGTCTATAGTGAACTGTTAGAAGTGTGTGGTGGACCTTTTACTCGGTTAGCTCAGTTACCCAAATTCAAATAGAAAATAAAGTACCAAAATCAGTTTAGTTACGGGAAGAATGTATTAAAGTTTGGTTACTTGGGTTTACAAAGATCCAAAGTCCACAATAAACGTTATAGACTCCAGGTGCTGCGGGAAGACTGCTCCAGTACTAATTCTCCAATGTTGACGTTGCCGGAGGTCGACCAAAGTACGTAGGAAGAACTACGGTGCTCCTGAAAAAATTTGAGATAGAAAGCAGGTGATTAGAATTGATCGACGGCAGTTGAGATGGTGGAGAAGATGGAGAGTCGAAGGCAGAACTATATATTTATTCAAAACCCGAGGTAAAGTTCAAGGTACAGAGTTTATGGTTAAAACAAAGTGATGTACAATATGTTCATTTCTTACATAGTAGTAAAATTTGGATAAGTTTATTTTTGAGGACTCCACAAGTGCTTTTAGGGACATGTAAAATTTCTGTGCCACATAGAAGAACTGACTGACTTCACATTAGTGCTAAAAATACGCTACTTATTCCTCCTATTGAGTGCATCAGATTTCCATACTGATTTTACAATAATGAAGGTTTCTTCTTCCTTTCTGGCTCTTAATTGCGTGATATCTCCATCCTTACCGCCTGTAGTTGAAACGATGCTGCCTGCATAAATGAAAGATGTGACTTCCAAATTTCTCCCACTGATAGTGATTGGTACTTGTTGTTGTCGTTGTTGTTGTTGGTCTGTCTGTATCTCCATCACCATCGTCTTCTCTATGTTCACTTGAAGTCCTGTCTTCATTTCTTCTTCTGCCAACTTGTTGGTTTACATCTGTAGATATGCAAGTTTGTGTAAACTGTCATACAATAAGTTATTTTCATAGAGCCGTATGCACCTTGAAAAGATATTACAACTCAAAAATAAAGGTAATTAATTCTGCATCAAGTTAATAGCGTATTTCTTCCATTGCTGTAGAATGCAAAGTAAACAAAATGTAGACATTAAATCATGTACTTTTTCAAGTATTAGTTTTGTAGGGAGTTTTTTTTGATTGCATGGAGAATTTCATCACGAGCTAACATCAGTTAGAGAACCACTGGAAAACTAGCTGGGAGTACTGGACAGCTGTTTCGTCATGGTTTCGGAATCTTCAGCAGTATGCACTCACCGGGGTTAGAACGCAGAACCTTCTAGTTACAAGGCGAACTCGTAGACCATGGAGACATTGAGACCCGATCCAATGATCCTTGAATTCTGCCTTCTGACAATTCACAACATAGCGCGACGATTTCGCAATGTCTTCTTCGATGACTGGCCCTATTCAGCCAGTGACCTGGGGTTCTAGTGGGAAGATGAGACAGTAAATGATCAGAGAAGACACTGGGAAATGGTCGCGCTATGTCGTGAATTGTCAGAAGGCAGAATTCAAGGACCATTGGATTGTGTCTCAGTGGCTCAATGGTCTACGAGCTCGCCTTGTAATTAGAGGGTTCTGTGTTCTAGCCCCGGTGGGTGCGTACTGCTGAAGATTCCGAAACTATGACGAAACAGCTGTCCAGTACTCCCAGCTAGTTTTCCAGCAGTTCTCTAACTGATATACTTTTTTATGTTATGTTTACTTCTATGCTTGTTATGGGCTTGTAAAAGAAAAACACTAGATTGTTTATGTTAGAATTCTAGTGGAACAAATGTATTTTCTGTTATTGTGTCAAAAAGATATTTCATAATTGATTATAATCATACTACTACTTTTATATTCTAATTTTATATGGTAAAAATTTAAGAGTCGCAAAGAAGATTTCGATATTGCCTTGTATGCTCATCGTGAAGTGGATCGATTCGGTGTATTATATGATATATGGTCGAATGAAACTGCTTTTCAAGAGGCTAAAAAGAGTGTAAGTATTACTGTTGAAATGAAATTTCCTTAAATAATCATGAACAATATATAATTTTTAAAATATACAATTGCGCATCCAACATGGATATATTTTTATCAAATTTTATTAGTATTCAGTGTTAAGTTGCTCCTTTTAACTTTATTAAATAAAATGGTTTCTTTCTTTAGTTAACACTCTGCTGCTTATATTGATGTTAGGTAGTTGAAGGCGATTAGTAGGAAGCCCTATACCTAGTTTTCATGCTTATTGACACTCGCTTCAGACAGTGACGCAGTCAGAGACTTTACTACTGTTCTATTTAGGATGACGACTAGCCTACTGTTGATCAGTGACTAAGGTGTGATTAGTGTCATGTGTGTAGTCTTTAGTGTTGATACTGAAAGAGTTTTATAAAAGTGTCATGATCACTATATGGATACTACGTGTTTTCAAAACAGTTGTTTTTTTTATTAATCATTTGAAACTGTTATCCATACTAGCAGATATAAGACTAAATGCAATTTTTTCGAACTATTTATTCGTATGAACTAAGGCAATTTCATCGATGTGTCAAGTCCTCTTAATTGTAATGTAATTTAGAAGGAAAGATGTTCAGCGAAGAGTTGCTCTTTTCGGTGATTTCATTCTCAACGCGTACAATCGCATATAAATGGTTAATTTTTTTGGTAACAAAAACAATATTACCAAAGATTTATCATTAGAGTTCGCTTTCCAAACGTATCATTGAACATTTACCCCCATGGGTTTATAAAGGATTGTCTACTCCGCAGCTCTATCTTGCAACACCTCATCGAATCTAGACACTAGATCCTAACCTACAAACCAATTTCGGAGTCATCTACAAAATATACGGAGTACGAATCAAACTTCTTCAAACTGTAGAAGCGATGTCAATTCAAGTTTGTTCGATCATTAAATCTTTACTGGACCTGATGTCTTAATACCACCGGATAAGTAATTTTGTGTTTTTTAATTGTATCACTTTCTTTCCTCAGCCCCTATTAAATCTCTACGCCTTATTACCATTATGGTTAACTTTGTTATGGTTGAACTGAATAAATCCGTTGCTACTTTGTTATGTCTGCGCCTGCTAATTATTGTCCGTTGTACCTTCTGATTCACTGAGCCACGTAAATATCAAAAGACAAAGGCTGGCATGTGACTGTAAAGAATTGTATTATGCACCTATAAGGAAACAAAACATATTTATGTATTTAATTTGTCACAATAAATTTGGTCACAACCGTGAGAATCGACTGTTCTTATTGGCTGGAAACGTCTATTCTGATTGGTTGGTGATCAAACGAAAATCAAGGTGAGACAAAAAAAATAAACTGATCACACACACTAAATCACAAAATGCGTGAGAAATGATACATTAACATAGTAACTCCATCACATGACATATATCACAAGATGATCCGTGACAAAGGATGATATACTATAATTTTATGCTGGGTCGTATCAAACTTGATTCTTGTTGAATTTCACTTGAGTTTAACTCTTTCCCATCACTTATATTAAGTCACTCAATTTACTTGTATGATTCTCTCATCTTAGCATATACGTGTTTAACGCTTTTTATACTGCGTAATTTGTTATCGTAAATTTACATATCTGTGCGTCGGTGGCACAGCCGTTAGTATGCTCGCCCACTATGCACATGGTCCGGGGTTCGATCCCCGGCCGACGACTCACTCCTTTACCTCACTTATCCAGTAATAAGACTGGTAAAGAGGGGAAGTTAGGCATGAGGCTAGCAACCGCGTCCTGTAAACATAATCACCACTGCTGCAGAAACTTCAAGCCTCCAGCTTGAAGCCCTATGTTCCACTGGGAACGTGATACATCTTTGGAAATATTCTTTTTGTTGCTAAGCTAGTTTATTATACAGCTTGAGTATGATATATCTGGAGGGGGGTAACTCTTCACCGAACACTTTTTTTCTCTTTTATATGATTCAATGAAGATTTTTAAGTTGTTATGTATCCGATACGTTTTGTAAGTGATTACGTTAACAGAGAATTTGATTACTTAAGCGCCAAAATGATTAAGCAAGCCATCATGATACATTGATTGGTATCGAGAATCATTATTGTGAAATTATCTGCATCGATACATAAATATGAATGATTGTATGCAGTGTGTTACCTCAGAGATAAATTACGTTTGTGTCAAGTATGTGGATTAGGTTAATGCAATATTATGTGCATGTGGAAATTTGTATTCATCTAATACAAGGGATATTAAAGCAACATTACTTATAAGCAACATTTTATCTGATATGATAATAAATTTCATTCACTGGACACTTTTCGTCATATTCTGATTACAACTTAATGAAAAATAAAGAGAATGTAACGTATATTCTTCTTTTTTTTCCTTCACGTTCCCCAGTGGCTTGAAGTTTCTGTAGTAGTGTTTACTTCATAGGATGGGGTTGCTAGCCTCATGCCAAACCTTTCCTCTTTACCAGCATTATTTCTGGCTTAGCGAGGTAAAATAGTGCGTTGTTGGCAGGGGATCGAACCCCTGACCATGTGAATGGTCGGCGAGCGTCCTAACCGCTATGCCACCGACGCACGTGAAACCTGGGAGTACTTGACAACTGTTTCGTCCTAGTTTTTGACTCTTCATCGGTACACACCCACCGGGATTCGAACCCAGGACCTTCTGGTTACAAGGCGAGCACGTATACCATTAAGCCACTGGGACCCATAACGTATATTAATCATTTGTATTTCTCAAAACAACATTTTTTTAAATCTTACCCATACTCGTCATAATTAACACAATATTCTTTGAATATCGTTATAATTTATTCAGAACAAAATGAGTTAGAGTCAACAATTGTGGTTTCAATAAATTCTTATTATTATTCAGGCTGTAGAATTATAAATTCATTGATTTTAGCATACAATAGTGCTAGTAAAGACAAATTAGACTTATATCAGAAAGTGTATTGCGTGGAACAAGTAAAAGATGGAGTGATAATCAGTTAATTTTCGTTATCATTTAGAATATACATAATCAATAAGAATATGGGATAAGATAAGACGAAGTAATTCAGTGATATATTTATATATATATATATATTCTACAGAGGAATAAAGCAACAAATGGGAGACGAATAACAATAATGATAAAATAATAACGATGGTGTGGCGTAAAGATAAAAGTACTATTGGTGAACAATTATAAGCTATTAACGACAGACTGATATCAGGTAGAGAACCATTGAAAACCTAGGAGTCCTAAACCAGGACTAAACAGCTGCCCGAGGAATAATCTCGTCGACTTAGAATATGCAGACGATATAGTCCTTCTAGGCGAGGAGGCTGACAAAATCCAGCAGAGTTTTCTGAACACCTTGAGCTGCAATCTACGAATGTTTGGCATGCGACTCGCTCTCGTCAAATGTAAGATGATGGTACAGGACTGGACTACACTGACTCCCAGTTTAGAAATACGGAGTCAAATGGTAGAGCACGTTGACCACGTCGATCTATCTCCCGTGTGAAGTGTTAGGCGTAATAGGGTGAGCAATATTGAAGTTAGGCGTGCGTCGAGTCTTAGGTAAGGAGGGGAAATCAATCGACAAAGCTGTGAAATTACATCGACTGAGATAATTAGGACATGTGTTAGAAATCCCTAGTCATCTCTTTTTTCTACAGGCATTGTTAGCTGACATAGGATCAGGCTATAAAAGGGATAGCGGCGGTCAAACCAAAACATGGCACCAGTTAATGAAATCCATAACAGTTAGTTTAAGCCACGTAGGAAGGTGTAGACTTCCTGGTTGAAGTCCTCGGGACGGTAAAAACCAATGAAGGCTGGAAATAGTTGGTGATATGGCTGAAAATCGTTCTCAATGGCTGGTGCAGATGCATCCACTCCTTGTGACTTATAATTTCCAATGAAACTATGGCGTTCATCGTTATTACTGTTCCTTTGTTTCACACCTCTGTTTACTGTCTCTATTATGCATTTCTTCTACTTTCTTCTCTTGTTTTGTGTGTCACATGGAGGGAGTGTAGCGACTCAAACTGCTACACATCGGTGCAAAGTTCTATGTCGAAAACAGACAGACAGACCAGTACTACATGGTTTTCAATGATTTTCTATTTGATATCAGTATATGATGAAACTTGAAAAACAAATCAAATCCCTACAAATTAACTTTTCAAAATTGATCTGATTCTCATTAATGAATGACTACAGAACGAAGTTGTCTGGAGTTATAGTAAGACGTCGTGACCATTGCAGTCCAACAGGTCGGGAGTTAGGACAAATACTCATCGATAACACTGGTTGGTGATCGTACTAAAAAAGACGAATTGGTAGAAGTTAGTTTTTATGAACCATTGAATCGAGTCCCAGTGACTAAATGGTTTGCAAGCTTGATTTGTAGCGAGAAGGTTCTGAGTTCGAACCCTTGCGATGGGTGAATACTACCGAAGAGTCACAAGGTAGGAAGTAACAGCTTCCCACTACACCGTGGCGGCTTTCAATGGTCCTCTAACTGATTTCAGCATGTCGTGAGACTTGAAACAAATTAAATCTCCAAACACTAACTCCTGAAAATTATCAGGTAATAAGAGATTTAATGAAGTAGGATTAAGAGGATTTTGTGAATATAATAACAAGTTTGAAAACATTACGTAAACCCAAGGTAACAGACATAATAAGAAATCTCATGAAGTCGTAAAAGATCTGAAATAAACGTTTGCCAATGAAACAGAGGAAAAAAGAAGAATAAGAGATAGAAATTCTGAGTGTCAATGTTTGTGGAAGAGGATTTGTTGACCTTGTGCGTCGGTGGCACAGTGGTTAGGACTCTCGCCGACCATGCACATGGTCCGGGGTTCGAGCCCACGCCGACGCACACCTGATATCTATGGTCGGCCTGCGAAATTAGGGCTACCGATATCCACGCTGAAAATTCCACACTTGTACCAAAAATACAGTGTGGAATCAAGCTGTAATCAAAAATAAAATAAAAAAAATAAATTATTGTGGACCGAGATTCCTGGCCAACAGCAACAACAACAACAGACGACAATCAGCATAAATGGGAGGAAACTGAAAGAAACAACCTCCTTTACCTATCTGGGAAGCATCGTTTCAACTACAGACAGAACTGACGAGGATATCAAAGCCAGAATCGGAAAAGCAAGACAGGCTTTCATTACCCTTAAGTCTGTGTGGAGGTCAACATCACTCAGCATTAAAAATAACATCCGGATTTTCAACTTTAATGTGAAGTCAGTGCTACTATACGGATCAGAGACTTGGCCAGCGTGTAATGAAGAGCATCTGAAACAAACTTCAGACCTTCATTAACAGTTGTCTTCGCTCAGTACTACTCAAGATCAGACGGCCAGCCAGAAAAGATCAGCAGCAGGGATCTCTGGCAGTGAGCGAACCAAGCAGTAACCGATCGTGAAACAAATAGGCAGGAAGAAATGGAGATGGATTAGCCATACTCTGAGGAAACCATCAAGTGACATCACTAGACAAGCTGTTGCTCGAGTGGAACCAAGCTGAAAGGGAAGTGGCGAGTTGGTCGTCAGTGCGAGAGTGGGGTGACTTGGAGGAGGTGATGTGAGGAGGAGATGAAAGCATGTGGACAGACTTGCAGTGGGCTGAAAAAGTTGGCAGAAAACAGAAGGCAATGGAGATGCATAGCTGAAGCCCTATGCTCCTCTAGGAACTAAAGGATATAATAATAATAATTATAGGGCAAAGTAAACAGTACAGTTGGATATAATTTTTCTGTGTATACAGAGATCAGGTCTGTGATGTTGACTGCAACCGCTTCAGCTATTGACTAATACTCCATCTAGTAGTTGTTCCTTAATGCACTTTCTGATATAATTCTAAATTGGTATTGTATGAATACTGTATACTGCAATAAATGAGTAATTTATCGTATATCATGAAGAAGAAAAAGAATTTATAGAAACCGCAATTGTTGGATCGGATTATTTTTGTTCTAAACAATATATATTTCTTGTCCAAAGTAATATCCCTCTAACATACTTATACTGAATATAAATTAAAAGATTTGCGTGGATTTTGGATTAATTACAACTGATAGATTTTCATCACAAACCAACATCAGTTATAGAGATGATTGTCAAACCAACGGGGAGCACTGCAAAGCTGTTTCGTCCTATTCTAAGACTCTTCATCAGTTCTCACCCAGTGGATAGATTTTCTGAAGCTGCATTGGGAAGTCGTCAATCATAGAGTCCACCATGTTAAGATGAAGTTAACGCTCATCAAAAGCATTGATGAGGGTAGCACTATACGACGAGCTGACGAAACCCGAATTCAGGAATCATTGAATTGCAGCCCAGGTGGTTGAATAGTAAACCAAGTAGCCACCTTGTAATCTGAAGGTCTTGGATTCGATCTCTAGCGGTCCGGTCATGGGTACGAACTTCTGAAAAATCCCGAACTTGAACGAAACAGTTGTTCAGTATGCCATGCTGGTTTTCAATGATTTTTCTAACAGTTGTGTTGGTTCGTAATGAAAATTTCACAATTTTAATCATATTGAATTATTTTTTCTGTAGAAAATAATTTTCAATACAAAAAATAATGGAATTTTATACACTTATGAATAAATTCTTTCTTTTATTTTTTTTAAACTTTAGTTAATGGATATTTATTTAGAAGCCTATAATCATGTAATCTCAAGAGAGAGTAGACGAAGATTAGCACAAATGATGACTGATTTAATGTTTAAACGGCCAAGAATTGATTTCAGTGAAAATTATTTTGTTAAAGCTTACAGATATGAATGTGCTATTCTAAGACAACGAACTGAAGTAATGCGTTCAATTCTAACTCATCAGGTATGCCTACAAATTATTATTATAAAAGTCATTGTATTCCTCAATGAATGGAAAAGACATTATTGTTGTTTTTGCTGACGTTTCGCTATTTAATGCTTTAACAGCTTTATCAAAGTGTTATTATTAAACCAGAATTTACAAAATCTCAGCTTATATATAACAACTCAGTCATCGTTCTTCAGCATGGGGTCATTTTTCCGTTGTCAAGTTGGCCAATTGGTGAAGATAACAAACTAAGTGTAGATTGTTGGATTTGATGGGTGTATAAAATTATCGAAACAACGTGTGTTTACATAAGTAAATTGCTTTTCACATTCAAGCCTCGGTGGGAACATCATCACTTATTGCGGAATGCAGGCATATCCAGATGACGAATTCCAAATAGAACGAAATGCGCATCAATCTGGATTCCACTGCTAGTCACCATCCACCAATTAAATTTGGATGCCACATGATATAAAGTCCTTATGATATATATTAGACGTTCGTTTTGATTCCTGACATTTCTCTAAATTATTTCAATACTGTCAAAATCAATTTTGTGGCCTGATTCCATAGCGTGTAGACCTATGGCTGGTGTTTTTCCAAGCTTTTCTAGTTCAGCTCTATTTTTCGGTGGTCGAACAAATCTGTTACGGTGTTCCTTTCTACTGACCTTGATTTCTGTCTACCGAAGTTTGTCCAATGTATGTCGCATCCCATTCCAAGCATTTTATTTTGTAGACACAATTAGATTGAGAGTCCTAAGAGAGTTGGTCTCTTACATAGACAAAGTGGCTTTGTAGTGTGTCTGATATTTTGAAGAAAACTCCTATGTCGAGCTTATTGAGTACTCTTCTGATATCATCTAACGTCTCTGATCTATATGACATGACACATCTGTTGACGTTCATATCTTCAGAATACGTTTTCGATTATGTTTCATGTTGATGCTGATTTTGGCAATGAGGTTCTTTGGGTAGTTGTTTTGCTTGAGAATTTCAGTAATTTTCATATTTCTTCTTCTTTTTCCTTCTCATCCGTTATCAATCAGAGAGTGTGCTCGTCTAAGAAGACTTGAAGCAAACGATAACTTTGCGCTTATTCATGAATATAGGTATATTAAAACTTCGATCTTCTTTCTCTTAACTAGGCAGCCTAGAAATAGTAATTCACCGAAGTCCTATTCTGTTTCTGAAGTAAACTGGATTCTGGGAGATAGATTGTTTACTTTCTCTAAGAATGAAGTGTGTAGATCTCGTTTTAACACTACAAACGTGTCATCAACGCATCTTAACCATATTTTAGGAGTGATTATGCTTGAAAAGATGTTATCATCGAATATATTCATGAAAAGGTCAGCAACTATTGGGGAAACTGGTGAACCCATAGCAACACCATTTGCCTGTCTATATAAACTTCCTTTAAATGTAAAATAATTACTTCCCAGACAGAATTCTGAGCTCTGAATTATTTCACTGGTGTCCAGTGGACATCTTTTTAAAGACATTGTGTCTGATTCTAGTAAATTGAAAATGATACCAAAACTTTCGCTAATAGGAATGCTAGTATATAATGATTTAGCATCATAGCTTATCATAACGTCTACATCATCAATTTTTATTAGTTATCTATTTAAGATTTGAAATCATATTGACCTTTATGATAGAGTTTTGAGTGTCGTTTTGGTGTGGTTACAGTATTGATGATAAGTATCTAGAGTGGTTGTCTCTCTGTTCTGCGTTCAATTCTTTTAATTAGAAAGACAAATATTGAACTTATAGCTTATCATGATAAAATTACAACCCAAGAACGTATAACATTAATTTAAAGATTAGAATTAAGACTTATAATTCGAAGTTTAGTAGAAGTATTTTACTTATTATTATTTCTTCATTATAAAAGACTTTCAGTAATATATATATGCATAGATTTTGCTGAATTAGACATATTGGGGATAACCACATAATATCACCTATTTCCAATGCACATTTCTACATTCTATTTCAGATTTTAAATGAACGAGAATACTTAAAAAAAGTTTGCACTGGTAAACCAGAATTTGGGCTACCACCACCTTTAATAGAGAAATTTTTGATAGCTCCAAGTACAGATGAGTAAGTTGTATTCACCTTTATAGAAGAAAATTCATTTGCTACTTAAGCAGTATTATTACTATTATGAGTGTTTTTATTCCTTAGAGTTCCCAGTGGAACATAGAGTTTCAGGCTTTCAGCTTTTAACTTTCAGTAGCAATGGTGTTTACCTTTTAAGCAGTGGGGTTGATAGCCTCTTGTCCAATCTTCCCGCTTCATCAAGATTATTATCGGCTAAGCGAGACATAGGAGTGAATCGACAGAGTTTCGAACCGGGAAACATGTATGATATGGTTTGGTGAGTGTTCCAAAGCTGAGCTACAGATGCACTTAAACAGTAGTGGTGCATATATAATTAGATATAAGTCTAGAAATTTACAAAACAGCCTGCGAAATGTGTTTAAACACATATATGGCATAGTCTGTCGTCAGTTTTTCAATAGAAAACATTTAATGCATTTACTGTACTCATTTTGTGCTTATTTTTTCATTATTTTATGTAATTTAACATGTATTAAAGTAACATGTAAAAACACAACTAATTTTATTATTAGAATATTTTACTTTTCATGAAAACTATAACCATTTTAAGTTTGGCCACAGATTAATATCAGTCAGAGAATTCTTGAAAGCTAACACGGAGCACTGAGCAGCCATTTTGTCATAGTTCGGGATCTTTCTGTGGTAGGCATCCATGAAACCCCACTCACCAGGGACCGAACCCAGGACCTTCACGTTACGAGAATAGTTCATTGGTCACTAGGCTACTGGGATGAAATCCAGTGGACCATAAATTCTAACACCTGTCATTTCGACGCGAGTTCATGGCTGCGCACTACTGATGAGTCACTGATCGGGAAAAAACAGATGTCCGCTTCTCTCTGATGGTTTTGAATGGTTCTCCAATTGATATCACTCCGTCATCAAAATTAAAACAAATCAGTTCCCTATAGAATAACTCTTGGATATTATCATTTTATTTGAAATGTGACTGAATTCAATGTAGCTCGTAAGGAGACAAATTTGTTTTTATCAGCGAAGATGACACTTCGACCTATTTGTTCGAAAGACTCAGTATTACCTCTTTTGAGATCGTGGTTAAAAATTTGATGAAGGCTGGTAGTAGAATTCAAATCACATGTTTCATCCCGTTCGTGACTCGTTGGCTAAGAATTCCATTTACATACACTTAACTGTTGAGCCTAATATAATCAAACGAGACTGAGGATTCTAGTGAATAATACTTTCATGCTTATGTGATGAGTAGGAAGTTCAATAAAAATGGCCACATGATCGCACTAACAATAAGCTGATGAGTAATAGACGGGACAAAACATCTGTTATGAATTCAGCTTCAGATTAATGCTAGGTATGTAGTGAAAATCTAAATCAAGTGCGAAAATGCTGTTGTTAGATGCCTGGAGGCAATTATCAGGAAGCCTTGGACTTATGTTTCATGCTTATTGGCACTTGTAATTAGGCGATTAACGGGTTGTTTTCGTCTTATGTTCTCAGTAAAATTCTGAATTGATTGGAAGTGACATTTTAGAATAACTTACGAACATATAATCATGTGTTTGATTACATTTCATAGTATTTCATATATCGAAGGTCATTATTCAATTATTAATGGAGAGAAATTGTCGAGTGTAGATAGCACTGCCTACTTAATAATAATAACAATAATAATTTGCTTTATTCCAAAACAGTACTTGTGATACAGAATGAAATTCTCAGCATTTTACTGCAGTATTGCATCCAGTTAGTACATTATCAATAAATAAAATTCTACATAGATTAAGCGTTATCTCAGTTCATTATAACAACAACATATTGGCATGTCGGAAACAAAGCCAAAATTGAACAGAGTGTTTGAAGGTGTTAGAAAAATAGATACTAGCATATTTACTGACGTAAGCGGTAACAAAACTGGTCGAGATATACAGAGTGTGAGAGAACGAAGAAGAAGAATGTTTTAAATAGAGTTTGAACGGAAGAACGAAACAAAGCAGCACATAACAGAAAAAGGAGAAAGAGAGAAAAGGAAAAGAAAGAAAGAAAACGTTCTACCTATAAATGATATGAATTGGAAAGACGAGATCCAGTTGTTCTACTGACTATTTAATAAGTTATAGGTATCACGCCTAATGCTTTCTTTATCGCACAGAACATGAGCTAAGTAGGGTATGGTTGAGGTTTTGTACTTACTAGTGCGAGCATATAGTTTCCTATATAAGCTTCTGGTTTTACCTGATGAGATACAAGGGGAGAGTTGTGAATGAAGAGGGTGGTATGAGTTAGATGAAGTGGATTTAGCCCATTTTTCCCATGAGTTCAAGTGCATGTTGACCAGAATATTAACAAGCTGGTTAAGTGGCACGTAGCTTACCCTGCTGACAACCTTTAACATCCTGCGTAATAAGGTATAGTCTTCCTTCAGTAGCCAGCCATGGAAAAACTAAGGGGGAACAATTGAGAATAATAGGCAGGATGCAAGAGTTAACAAATCGCAGGAGTAAGGGTTGGGTTATACCAGAATGTGTTAACTTCTTGTTGTAGAAGGCAGGACGGAATATTTTCTTAGAAATCATCCAGATATGATGAGACCAGATAGAATGACGCCTAGGTATTTGATTTCCGACTTGGTTTCTATTTCAGTGCCATCTATGTTGCACACCTCACACAAAAGGTATTTATAACATAAACTAAGCTGATCTAGTGACATTTTCTTTTTAAAAAGATGCATAATCATCAAAGAATCCCTTTTTGCTGTATGTTTTCAAAATATGAAATTCTTTTAGATTGTTTTAACCAAGGAATTATTGCACAGCTTGTATTCGACCATCTAACAATGATTCAATATGCACCATGATGGTCAGTCCCCTAGCACAGTGAACACACTACGAACTGCTTGACTGATAAAATTCAGTCTGCACCAAGGACTAGATACATGATGGGAAAATCTAAAATTCAATTAAATAATTAATATGACCCGTTGCACAAGATATGGCTCTGATGGCCTAAGTGGTCTAGTGGATAACACTTTGACGTTTGGATCTATGGGTGTAATAACAGAAGACAAGGGCCAGGAAACAAATCGTTTATTTACGAAATTAACACATATTTATAGATTTTCACGTATTGTTATTGTTAGTAGACAAACACAGTCTTCTGATTAGCGGTTTCTCACTGAACGTTAATCTTTCATCTCTTTGTGGCTGTTTCTTGAATGTCAGATCATCTATCTGCTAATTGTAGACGCCTACTCAAAGTCTGCTGTGATTAGTTGTTGAGTCAGTCTTTCTTCTTGTTTTCACATGATCAATATTTGAAACATAAACATTGACGTAAATTACTGCCTACCAATTTGGCTAGCAGCCAGCTCTCACCACATGGGCACTGGGTTTGAGCCTCGGTGGGAACATCATCACTCACTGGGAAATGCAGGTACATCCACTTAGCTGACTAGTCCTAAATAGGACAGTTGGATTCCATTACTAGTCACCATCCACCAATTAAACTGTAGATACATTACATTGGCTGTTACTACTACGTTGTGTCTATACAAAATACAGATGCTGCTTTTAGACAAAAAAGAATTTCTAATTCTCTGAATATTTTTAATGTAACTAGGTAACATGAAATGTTACTTGTTCACTTTAGATATATATCTTGTACTATCCTTGAATACAATGACAGTTTTTATACTACACAGACATCTTGTTCGAATGACAAACATTAACACAAGTTTTTGAATAAAGCAAGAACAACAGTGGTGGTTTGTGCAGAATAATATGCTACCATCCTTTGTTTATTTCGTTGGCTTCTCATCAGCTAGCTGCGTATACAGTCTAAATAAATTATGAGGTTTATGCACGAAAAGTTTTAACATACTCTTGCAAATTTTACATGAAGTCAGTTGACAGGAGATTAAACAACTGGTGAACAGCGCTCAGAAAGTTACGCTCATATAGTTTTTACACAGGTAGCTCAAGTTTAAACAAAATAAATGTATGCATATAATGGTAAAGGAGTTACGTAATAAAGACGAGAGATGCGTAAGATGCTGAGTGACTAGTAAATTAGGCAACAATTTACTGAGTTCAACTCAAATCATAGAAATAAGAGACAAACCGAATTATACTATATCAAAGGGGGATACTGAGGTTAAAGCCTAAGATTACGTAATCCAATGAGAGAGAGAGAGAGAATAAAGGCATCCAGTTACCAGGTGGGCAAGGAAGGACTGATAACTGCTTCTTTCTGAACACATAAATTGGGTTTCAAGAGTTCGATAGAAATTGCCTCGGCAAGTTTTTCTCGTCAACTTTACCATTTAAATATTTGTATGACTATTAGCTACATTTCACAGAGCAATATTCTTGAATCTTGACTGAAACATTCACTAACCAGAGGTCGTTACAATTTATTTCCATACAAATATGTTTACTTTTTCTTTAATTTCAGACCAGTTCTATGTCCAATCTACTTACTCGAGTTTCATTCATCTTTAGCGTGTACACCAAGTATAATTGAAGCAATCGATGAAAGTGTACTCAGAGCATTTAATGTTCTTACACCTGAAAGTCAAATTGAACGTATTAAACTAGAGAAAAGATTTTTTGATTATCTTAAATATGAAATTGATACATTGAAACCATTAGGTGCATCATATACAGCACAGATTCAACGTGATGTAAGTTTTCTATTGATAGTATATGATAACCTAATAATCGTATTTTGGTCTGTTTACTGTTCACTGAGTCCAATTAATTGTATAATAACTAACTAGTAATACTATCTGTACTATGAATTTGAAGACTGTTACTCGGTACGTAGAAACTAACAGCTTGAACTATTCAACTGATTGTAAAAGGATTCAATATACGACTCCTAAACACTGGAAATGTAAACTATCTTCCATCGATCAAAGCATTTATCTGTTCACATTTGTCTTTGGTTTCATGTTTACAGAAGAAAACTTTTTCTCGGATTTCAAAAAGTGACTTTAAAGCTTAGAGTGAGGAAACATATAATCGGATACAGGTGCTGTTTGAGTTAACAATAAGGATATCTGACGAATTGACGGGAGATAGAATTCAAGGGTTATTCAAATACATCCCACTGGCTGAATAGTCAAGGAGACGACCTCATAACCTGGAGCCCTGTGCTCAACACTTTGTGCGGTAGTGGGTACGCACTACTGAAGAGTCCCATACCAGGCAGTAATACCTATCCAGTGATCTTTAGTTTTCAGTGATTATGTATAACTAATATCAGTTAGTAATGAAATCTACATTGAGATTCAGAGGTTCATTTCATTTTCAGTCACCAACCAATCCCAGTTATTCCGAATCCAGGTATCAGATAGTTTCATGAGTGAGTGATCACTTAGTGCTGCTAAGATGAGGATATGTGCATTATATCAGTTCACATGTTGCTGTGAAGCCAGATACATTGGTTGTTCGACGCTCACTCCGTCTAAAATAGTCCAAATACACTATCTCGTATGTCTGCAGAAAGGCAGTAGTGGCCCTATAAGGAGTACAATAATCGAATACTCTGTTAACACTAATCATTTTATATCAATAAATTCCTGCGTCAAAGTAACTTACGAAGTGAAGAACAACCTGCCAAAGACAATAAATACTCTTTCGTTTTCTTTGCATTGCTAAAGCTCTAGCCATTCAGATAGAAAAACTGGAGCTATGCAAAGAAAAAAAATTAATAAACTACTTCTAATATAGTAAACAATTGGTGGATGGTGGCTAGCAGTGGAATCCAGGATGCGCATTTCGTCCTATTTGGGACTCGTCAGCTGGATGTACCTGCATTTCTCAGTGAGTGGTGATGTTCCCACTGAGGCCCATCCTGGATTCCACTGCTAGCCACCATCCACCAATTGTATACTAATTAAATGGCCAGACATCGTCGAGGTATCTGCACAAGAAGCCGACATGTCAACCTGAGACCGAACGAGCACTTCGGTCCAATCAATCGACGGGAAAATCAAAAATTCAATTCAATACTTCTAATATAATCTAACTACTAGCTTGATTTTTTCAGGAATTTTATTTTTCTAACTCCATATAACTCTTGTATTTCCTTAGAACTCTTACAGAAGATTTGATAGTGTGAAATATTCCCATATTATGAATATTTTTTTTCCAATAATTTCTCTTCAGATCCTAACAACTATAAAATATATAATATTTACTGTAGTTACAATAATGGCCAGTTATGCGGTGGACACATTTTTAACGTAGAATAACAGATAAGCAGTTATGGGGTGTTAAAATAAATAGTCGTGTGTGTGACAAACGCGCTAGGCTGAAATCGATTACAGAATATTGTAAAATGGGAGACAATGGTGGTGGTGATTAGTCATAATAGATTTGTAGAGTGTAAGGTAGGAAAGTTGACAAGTCAGTTCAAGGTTATAAAAGGTGTCAGGTGAGTGGTTAGTACAAAATGGTCTGTGTTAAACAGGAGATAGTAAGACTGAAATGAGAGGTTCATAATGAAATAACGAATGTGTGAAATGAAGAAACAGATGGAGGCATATATTAAGAAAAGAGATAATTTCACTAATAATAAGTCCGGATAGTATAAATGAAAAATTCGATATTATTGAGAGAATGTTTTCATGAAGGGTATAAATTATGACGAATAATAATAATTGAAATAGTAAGTAAAGGGGAAAAATCCAAGAGGGTTAAGGGGAAGGAGCACTCTTGGTGAGAAGAAAAATCATCAATTCAAGTTCGGTCACGATGGGAACAGAGCCTGGACGTGTTCGTTTTGGATACAAAGTTCCGGTTTAGTCGATCTTATTGCAACACCTTCAGCTATGTGTAGGAGGCGTAAGCGAACTGTACGTGATAACGACTTCGGAATTCGATATATAACCCTGAAAGCTGTGTTGACATCAATACGATGTCCAATATCGACCAAGTGTGACAGGATCGAGTTTTTATGCACTTAGTTTTCCCCCTGCTGAACCAAGTTGGTAAATGTTCTCGAACCCGTAGACGAACCTGTCTAATCATTCCCCCTACACAACTTGAACCACAGGAATATTTGAAATGGTAATATACATGAAGAAGAGCTAAGGTTAGGTAAGACATCTTTGAGTTGCTGGGTGAACATTGAGAGGTTACTCAAGGATAGACACGGACGTGCAGATTAGAAAGTTTTCTTGATTGCCCTCGTCAAATGTTGGGATAGAATCTCGGCAGTAGTATCTTCCTTGAATTGGAGAAGTAAAAACAGAGGCTTTTTCTCCACCGTTGCCAGTTCATTTTTACTACTATTGTGAATTATCTTAGCTTTAATGAACTTCTCTGGACATCTATTCTCGCTAAGAATGTCTCGGATGACCTGGAGTTCTTTCCCTACACAGTCTTCGGAACAAATAGACCTCACTCTAAATGCTAAGCACCTGATTAGATTACGTTTGTATTTCATCGGTATGAAGCTAAGGTATTGTGTATAATGATCTTTGGTCTCTAGCTTTCTTAATATGGTTCTTTTGATGGAACCATCCTCTCTTCTCGTTAGTAGGGCGTCGAGGAAGTGTAGAGAGTCATTGTATTCTCCTTCGTAGGTGAAATGGACCACTGTGTGAACATTATTGAAGTTGTTCAAAATCAAATTACTATTTAACCCTTCATCGTACACTACAAAGGTGTCATCCATGTAACAACAATACATTTCCATTTTCGCTATTTCCTCTTTCAACGGACTATTTTCTAGTTTTGCTAGAAATATATTCGCGAAAATAGGTCCCAGTAGGGATCCCATGGCTACTCCATCAACCTGTCTGTATGTTTTGTTACTAAATAGGAACTGAAAATTCGTTGTACATGTAACAAGTAGTTGTTTCAAATTACTGATAGGAAAGTTACGTGATACTAAAGGTGAAGTGGACAGATAATCAGAGTTTAAATAAGTATCATAAAAGTACAAAGGAGATGAAAGATAAGAAAGGGTGGGAGGATTTTGAATAGAATTCACCTAGGCGAAGCAAGGGAGAGATAAACTTCTTTTGTATACAAAGACTAGGATTATTCTCTCGAATTCCCATAGCTTCGGCTATGTGTAAAAGACGAGCTCGAATTCCATTCAAAAGGCTCGATATAAAAGTGTTACAGCACAGCTAAAGAGGAGGATGAATTTGTCTGAAAGCGCTTCTTCACTGATCTATGTGTTTTCGTTTTCACTAAGATTATCGAACCTGACTGAATGATAAGCGTGGTGATACTAAAAGATTGACAATTAATGGAATTAAGATTTCTTTAACAGTTTTGTCTACTTATTATTTCCTCTAAGTGAACTTGTGAACTAACGTATCATTTCGTTTTTGTTTTACCTTCTTTACCTTCAATTCATGGCCGTCTTCGAAAAACCACGGTCACAACGCATCATCATTGTATAATGCTACTTTGGTTCAATTCAGTTATTTTCATCGTATTTCATTGAAGATGCAATACAAATGTCAGAATTATGCAATCAATATTTATCATCTATACAACAGCGTAATTCCCGTGGAGATAAAAAAACTCGTCAAATTTTCTTATTGAATGAATTAGGTCGTTTATTAGATTTGATAACAGTTAGACATCGTTTAATTGATTGTATGTGGGAGTGTGAAATTCTATCGAAAATTTATTTAAATTTATCTTATCAAATGGGTTATGATGATTTCCATTTGTTTATTCGTCCGCTACAATTTGAATCAGCAAAGTATAAAGAAGGTGCTGAAGATTTGAGACCACCAGTGTATATAACAGCTATACAAGATGATGATTCACCATTGGATAAGTAAGTAGTAATAGTAGTAGTATAGCACACTTTAAAAAACATTTATTCCTATTAGTGTCATAAGAGTAGAAATTAAATTTTTCTACAAGGCAAAGTTGAATAATAGGAGTGTCGTAATGTTTCAACACTTTTGCATTGCGGTGTTAGCGATTCATCAATATAAACCTGAAGTCTGTATGCTAAAAATGCCTGTTCATTCTCTTATTCTAGTTTTTATATTTTTTTATTATTCCTTTCGGTTCCGAGTGGAACATAGGGCTTCAGTAACACATTTGCGCTTTCTTCTGTTTTCTGCTATCCTCTACAGCTTGAACCACGGTTGCCCATAGTGTCTCATCTCTTCCTCACACAATCTCCTCCATGTCACCCTCGCACCGACGACCCACTCGTCGCTTCCTATTCGGATTTCACTTGAGGACCTGGCGTGCGATATCATTCGATGGTCTCCTCAACGTATGCCCAATCTATCTCCATTTTCTCCTATATATTTGTTGAGCAATCGACTCCTGGCTGGTTTGTTCACACAGTTTCTTGTCATTTATCCTCTTTGGCCATTTGATCTTCAATATGGAGTTAGCGAATGCAGCTGTTGATGAAAGTCTGCAGTAGCGCCTGTTGCAAATAGTTTTTGTGACACGCAGTGCAAGTTTCTAACCCTTATAGAAGGACCGACTTGAAATTGGTGTTGAAAATCCGAGTGTTGTTCTTAGTGTTGAGTGCAGAAGATTTCCAAACTGTTTTCAGGTTGATGAAGGCGTATCTTACCTTTCCGATTATTCCAGGCTTTAATGTCTTCTTCCATTCCGACTGCCTATGGTGGAAACCGTGCTTCCTGGATGGATAAGTGGAGGAAGAAAACCCTATCAAATCTCTCACGTTGGTGGTGATTGGTAGTGGTTGGTTATCTCCACCACCTCCGTCTTCTCTATGCTTACCTGAAGTTATGTCTTCGCCGCCAGCCTCTTCTGTCAGTTTGTTCATTTTTGCCTGTAAGTCTTCGAGTTTGTGTGACATTGGACATATATCATCTGCGAAATCCAAATCTTCTAGAGTCTTATTATCGGCCCTGTCTTTTCACTGCTTGTACACAGTTCGACGCATAATCCAGTTCACCATAATTAGGAATCTCATCGTGAATGATAATAGACAGTCTTGTCTTACTCCCGTATGCACTTCGAACGCCTCACTGAGTTTTCTGTTGTTGATTATCTGAAACGTGGCATTGTTATATAGCTGATGAATAAGGTTGATAAATACTTGGGGACTGCATGCTGTAGTGTTGAAGTAGTCTCCAAATTACTTCTCGGTCTATGCTGTCTGTCGAAGGATTTTACGAAGTCAGTGAAGTTGAGGTAGATAGAGGTTCGACAGCCATTCTATTCTTTGTTCGATGACGATGCGTTGAGTTGCAATTTGATCAGAACATGATTTGCCTTTCCTGAATCCAGCTTGTTCCGGTGGATGACGGAGTTCTGTATCCTGTGCATCTTTCATTCTTTCCAGGATGAATCGACTTAGTATTTTACTTGGCGTGGACAAGAACATGATTCCACGCCATAGCATATATATGTAAATGTAAAAGATACATCTTGTCTCTAAAATCCTTGTCCAAACATTTGAGTCGTTAATAGACTCCAGAAACACGACTGTCTGCCTGGTTTCTACTCCGAACGTAAATTTGACAGCTGAGTGGCAGCTATTAAAAACTTGTAGGACATTATTTAGTTCACATTTGCTATCACAAATTGTAAAAGTATCGTCAACATACCTTTCCTGCAGGGAAGAAGCTGTCGATGGTCAATTTCAGCGTATCATTTTCCAAACTTGCCATGAACATATATCTGAAAATAACGGACCTAAAGGTGATCAAATAGGCAAGCCATCTTTCTGTTTGTAAATAATACCACTGGGTATGAATCGGACGTTCAAAGTGCATCTGAGTTGAGGTTATTTTAACTTCGAAGTCAGCATTAAAATATTCAGGTTGTTGTCTTCCAAGTACTTGCATAGGAATTTTGTTACACTCTGTGAACTGTGTGTATTTTTGCAGCAAACTTTAGCGATCATGTTTGACTAAAGTTCATAGTCATAGATAACTGAAAATGAATAAATGTATGTGTGTGACATACAGTAATGTGTGTGTGTACAAAGGAGAACAGTTGTATGTTATTTGCTAATCTTTTCATAAATGTCAATATAGTATATATCACACACAACTAAACATTTTAAACTATTACCCTATAATCTGTTTCAAATGACATAATTTATTATATTTAAATAATTTTATATTAATTTAATTGGTGGATGGTGACTAGCAGTGAAATCCAGCTTGATTCTCATTTCCTCCTATCTAGAACCCGTCAGATGGATATACATGCATTCCCCATTGAGTGATGGTGTTTCCACCAAGGCTCGAACCCAGTGTTCACAGCTCTAAACGCCAAAGCGTTATCCACTAGACCACTTGGGCAACGAGAGCCACCTCTTGTGCAATGGGTCATATTAATTATTTAACTGAATTTTAGATTTTCCTGTCGATTTGTTCGACTGAAGTGCTTAGTCTCAATGGGGAATGCAGATATATGCAGATAACGAATCCCGAATAGGACGAAATGCGCATCCTGAATTCCACTGATAGTCACCATCCACCAATTAAATTCTAATTACATGTCCAGACACCGTCAAAGCATCTGCGCAAGAAGCCAACATGTCAACCTGACACTGCGAGCACTTCGGTCCAATCAATCGACGGGAAAATCTAAAACTCAATTAAAAAATATTTTACTAAGTTTCCGTCTTACTTTTTAACAAACTTTTAATCTGTTATTTGCTCTAGATATCTACCATCAGCGCTACCACTTGCTATCCATGAACTAGATGAAACACATGTTGGAAAATTCTCTTTTCGTGGGAAAGTTACAATTATGGAGGTATGTTTCTGTATATATTTATATTAGTGAATATTCTTAAAAATTGTATGTATTTTATTTTACTTTTAAAAGAAACTTCGTTCAGCGAAGATTTACGCTTTTCGGCGATATCATTCTCAAGCTGTTCATTGTCTTTGCAAACAAAATGAATACTTCCAAAGATTTGTAATTAAAATTATAAATTTTAGATAACAAATTTCGTCAATGGGTTAGTATCTAAAGTAAGATTAAGTAAGTAAGTTGAGTGACGTAATCTAATTGACGGAGGTGAGTAGAGCTCAGCTAAAATTAAAATTGGTTGTACGTCAGTTAGAGAACCATTGGAAGACCTGGGAGTACTGGAAATCTGTTTCCTCATAGTACTGGACTCTTCAACAGTACACATCCACCGACATGGTTCGAACTCAGGACCTTCTGGTTACAAAGCGAGCTTGTAGGCCATTAAGCCACTAGGACACGATCCAGTGGCCCATGAATTCTAACTTCTTCCAATTCATGACATAGCGCGACCACTTCTCAATGTCTTCTTCGATAAGTTACTGCCTCACCTTCAACCTGCTGTACTTTACTGGTCTCTAACCGATACCACCTCATGATGAAATCCTCCAACCAAATCAAACAAAATCCCTAAAAACCAATACTTGAAAATTAAAATCATACTCTTTTAGGAAGATTCCCACGTATTCTGTAGATGAATTTGAAGTTATTTCTTAGGTTTGCTTGATATCCTCAATCGATCAGGTGTTCTAGAATAGAGCTTCACGATGACCTATCTTCGTTTGTGCAAAACCACTAGAGTATGCGTTCGATGATACGTTTGTATAGCAAACTCTGGGTACGTCCAATATACCTAGCTCCAAATACACATTGACGAAATAGTTAGTCCCTTTTTATAAATTCAAATAAGGAATTAAGAAGACGAATACTCCAAGATGATATCATTACGTAGTTCCTGTGTTCAATTGCTACACAACTAGCATGGTTAGCAATAATAAAATAAAATGCATGACGATCGGTTATGTAAAATAAAAATGTGCGTAATAATAACCAATCATATTTTGGTAGGTCAAGTAGTCCATTTTAGGCAAAGTTTGGAGTCAACTGTTTTCTGTACACATAATTGGGCAAGCATGTGATTAATAAACGCTTTGTGGATGACACGTTTATCATTGATGACAATAGTAAGTTGATAGAAAACTCATTGCCTTGTTTAACAATAATCGTCGAAATATTCGAGTGACCCCAAAATTCGAAATGAATAAGAAAAGGGGGTTTTCAGATAATTCAATGGCTAGGAGAAACAATGGAACAAGCTGTTATGTACTCGTCGACAAATTATTGTTATGGTCTGGTCGAGAAACTAATAGTCCTGACGCAAGAAGGCGGAAATCAGAAGACCACTAGGTTTGCGATGATACTTCTATTTTCTAAACACAAGGAGAAGCAATAAGTGGTATCACACCAAAGTAAGTAAGTAAGTCACACAAATTGTAAATGCGAAATATATACGAATGTTCCAGACAAAGTGTGTGAACAAATCATTAGACAGTCTTAACATGAATGGCTAATTATAATGAAGTATCGATCCATATATACACAGCGAAATATAGCAGACATGTCAACAACCACCATATATGGATATATGTCACCAAGCAACGGACTGTCAACAAACACTCATATTATATATAATATAAGGAGAATATATGTTGTTAAAGGAGACAAGTTCATACAAGTGAAATGGTCACAGACTAAGCGAGCAAACAGAAAGAGAGACCAACATACACACACAAATATATATGTGGATACATATCACAAGCAGAACTGGATTGGATGATATTTTCATTTCAGCAGTCTTGTTCCTTTACGGTATAAACATTCCCTAGTGAAGTACCCGTTTCCAAGGCTTGGTGGAATTTGTGAGAGCGACACATTAATGAATGAACAATGCTGCATACATTCAGTTTTATTGGCGAATGGTTATCCTGAAAACTTCATCATCTGTCAATAAGGAAAGACTACTCCTTGAAAAGATAGCTTCCATATAAAAGAAATCTGTCTTTACTAAACAACCATTCGAGGGCTATCAAATCCTGCTGATGACAGCTCAAAGGCCATGAAATGATGTTTCAATAATGTTCTACTATTTTCACATAAATATATTCAGAACAACCTTATTTCGTCTAACCTACTACATTAAGAAACTCAGACTAACTGGAGTCACTCATCCTCTGCTTTCACAATTTGTCAACTCTAGTTTCTTACCTATTCTACTTTACTGCCCGCATTAGTCTTCCCTTGGTTACTGAAAAAGGACTATACCATCCTGAGAAGGATGTTGAAGGTAGTTAGTAGGACTAGCGGTGTAAAACTCAGTCAACTCGTCACTACATTAGTGGATAAGCATCTGAATACATGCGAGAAATGGTCTAAAACCATACTCTCTGACCCCCAACATCCCCTCTATTCCCAAGTCTCTCCTTGCATCTCATCAGGTAGAACCAGAAATCAGTACAGTATAATATATGCTCGTACAACCAAGTATAGGAACTCAACGATACCATATTTGGCCCGTGTTCTAAGTGACAGGGACAATGTTAAGCGTGAAACTTATGACTTGCTTTGTTGTTAATAACATAATTTTAGGCTCTTTTATTTCTCTGTTATTTGTACTCTATAGTGAACAACCTTCTTAAACATACTTAGCTACCTAAAATTATTATCATTGGACTACTTTTTTATTCTTTATTCTATTCCTTTTTTGTGTAACTACTGTGTCCGACTATATTATCACTATGAGTATTACAAAATTGTCCTGTCATTAACCATCCTGTAATATTAGTTTTGTGATTGTTTTTTTTTTGTTCGGCAGTATTAAACTGACAATCTTGGTTGTGAACGCTGTTATCACCTTCCTAAAATTTTTGTATTATGCATGATTACTCACACTACCACCACTGCGTCGGTGGCACAGTGGTTAGGACTCTCACTGACCATGCACATGGTCCGAGGTTCGAACGCCTGCCGACGCACATCTGATATCTATGGTCGGCCTGTAAAATTTGGGCTACCGATATCCATGCTGAAAATTCCATACTTGTACCAAAAATACTGTGTGGAGTGAAGCTGTAAATCAAAAAAAATTTAAAAAAATAAACACTGCATTAGTGCTGACAATAAAAAACGTGAAATGTTTATTTTATGATTGTGTAGTGTAGCTCAATCAAATTAACTGATCATCTTGGCGATAAACATTCTTAAGTACATTCCATAACTTCTTGTATGATTATAGCTGTTACTGTTCACCACGCATACACATATCATAGCTTCGGCTACCAAATACTGAAATATTATTCATTATTGGTGTTTATCTTCCTTTTTACTTGGTATTTTTATTTGCATCTTTTTGTTATTTTTGTGTTTCTTTTTGGTTTTTGTTTTTTTATTTTTTATCTTTATTTTTTTCGTAATACTCCTTTTAAATGTCCGATGAAATTAGATGCAATATTGTAGATATGTGCTAAAAATTCCACACTGTACCACTAGTACTGTTTCTGGAATAAAAGCGAAATTATTATTATTATTATTATTATTACTATTATTAATGATTATCCGACTAAGGAAACTGTACAAAGTATTTAGCCAACCTTCGCGTTTATTAAAGACCAACTAAGCACCGGTTAAACTCAAACTTCTGACATGCCATCTTTATACACAATGTACAACAAATCTCGAGGGGAAAATACCTCGAGGTAAAGTAATTTAATAAAAAGGAGATCCTCTTAAATATTATAATCAGATTGTTGCATGATAAGAAGTGTAATTCCTGCTAAAATTTAGGCTACGTGTATGATGCCTAACACTGCTTCAGACAAAGAGTTTTTTTTTAGATAATTCTCATTTCTTGATCTTTCTTATCCCCTGACTTTCACTTCTCATGAAACATATATTTACCCTGACTAAGTCTTTGCACCTCATTTCCTGTTGAAGATACTGCGAGAAATATCCCGAATTTATAACCATTATAAGAGAAATGACTTTATAAACTAGAAAAAGACTGGAGTACACTTTGAAGCAGAGTATTTGTGCTTAAATTTTGCCGGCTGGCACTTTTTTTCATTGCCTTGCCTTTCATGTTATACTGTCGGAGTTATATCACATCTAGTGCAGATATTCTCACTTAAATTACTTAGTCAATAAGAATTAACAGGATTGCTATGGAATAGCGTTGAAGTTTATAAAAGACTGAAACATTCGTTGAAGAAAGGAACTAATATTAAGTGTTATGATGTGGTCAAAGTTCAAGTCACAGAAACAATCAGTTCCAACACAAGTAACCTAGAAGGTGTGAAAACACACATAAACAACCAATCACGTCCAAGGTCACCAGGAGGAATGATTAATAAACTCGTGGAGAAACCTAAAAGCTCACTTCACTGAATTGAAGTATGCGCTGAAGATGTCACCCAGTAGGGCGATGAAAGCTTCGCAAACTAACCATCCAGCTCAGAGAACAAAACCACATCAAAATTATCCACCTGAGCTACAAATCTTCTCTATCATATCTAAAGGAACTAATATTAAGTGTTATGAAGTGGGTGTAATTTTTGCTTGCCGAAATTACTATTTTTAACTTTCGGTTAACTGTTCGTTGGATTGAAGTACTAGGTCTGAGCTGACACGTCTTCTCATATTACGGATTATTCAACAAGACCAAATGGGTCAAATGCTTTCCAGAAGCTGAAATTGTAAGGATAATAAAACATTTATAGGGGCGGCAAAGTGAGATGGAATATAATTAACCAGAAATAAGATTGATGAGACCAATGTATCAACATTTATAAGCTGTGATATTGTAGACATTTAAAATACTTTCATTACGCTACATCGTTTACTTCCAAAAGGGTAATGAATTACGACAAACTGAGTAACTGAAGTACAAAAGGTGACAGCATTTAGATGATTTCATTGTTCTATGCTCGCTTTACGCCAACTAAAACGAA